TTTGATTTGATTCAAAAACCGATATCACAGCACTCTGGGCATTCCCATAAGCGCTCCGTCCCCATCTTCAGTAGTCAGCGAAGAGTTCTGATACTAATGGTGCCAGTAGCATTCTGACTTAACATCCGTCTTGCCTTTCCTCTGAGCCTCGAGCATCTGCCAGAACCTCTCGTCACTCCCAGCTGCATCAATCTCACCAGACCGTGGTGATCCATCTGCTCCTCCGAGCTGTACATGCTCTCCCACAAGGCACTAACCACGTCTGCCCTATCTGACTTCAATGGAAACATCATTAATTAGTTTGTCTTCTTTGCGTCCACCAGCTGTAAACTCTGGCAGAAAGTTCTGATTGTTTGTCCATTTCTCTACTCACACAACATGTTGAGAAAGGTGGAGACAGGCATGCTCCATACAGAGTGGCAAGCATCACTTCAGGGGTCCCAGGTAGCTTGCCTCCTTTGGATATTTTATCCAGGTGATGCTGGTGTGTTGGGAAATGAGCAGGCAGATAGACTGGCCAGTTTTGCACCACTTGGTGGTGAACTGATGAATGCCAAGCTGGATGTTGTGAGGGCCCTTTGGGTACGAGTAAACATTGCAGAGGCACAGATAGATCATTACGGTCTGAGGAGAAAGGCGCTGAGGAATTACAAGGGGATCTGGCCGACGCTCGACACTTAGGGAAAAGGCAAGACGGATATACAATCAGACAGTTACTGGTACCATCGGAATTTTAAATCTTCGCTTGCTGCTGAAGATGGAGACGGAGCACTGATTGGAATGTCCCGAGTGCTGTGATGTCAATTCTTAATTCAACACTTGTCCATTTCTAGACTGGTCTTGAACCAGAAACTTGAGTGTTGCGTGCAGATCCATTTCACAGGTCTGACTCTTTTGCATGCAGACTGTTGGTTTTTGGCCTCTCAGGCAGATGTACTTCCAAGGAAGCCCCCAATTAGTTGACTCTTGCGACATGCTTTCGTGCAAGCAGTGGGTCTAGTCTTGTTTTCCCCCCCCACAAGTCGCCTCTTATGACATGCTTGTTAGGGAGGGTCCATTCTTTTCCCCTTCATAATGGGAGACTGGAACTTATACAGGGAATTAACAGCAGCAAAGTGAACAGAGATAACGACCAGACAGACCTGCAAACACTTGGTGTCACCAATTGGAAAGAGAAGGCCAACCAGAGAGTTGAACGGAGGTGGGTGATATCTTCAGCAATGAACCTCAAGGGCTCGGAATGCTGAAGAAGAAGAAGAAGTGAACAAGTCTCACAAAACTGCCCTCCATCCCCCCCCCCCCTCTAAAAGACTTGTGCCTGCTATTTCATGACTTCACTGTGATAAGTGGTTTCATGAAATAAATGTTCTAAAAAACCAGAAGAGCTTATTTTGTCCTGGCTTTTCATACCATAAACTGTGTCAGCCTCTCTTCTGCTCATCTTTTCAATCACCTTCTGTTAATATTCTCAGCCACCCCCCCCCCCCCCCCCCCCCCAAGCTCTGGAGGGGCAATGAACGCTGTAGAAACCCCAAGATAAATCTGGATGCGCATCTTATTACCCAACCGAAAATGTGTCTAGTAAAACCAAACTGCAAAAAAATTATATGGTTGACTTGCAACATCCTGTGAAGGAAACGCAACTAACTTAAAAAAAGATTTTTTAAACACATACACAACAAAGTTCACCATATCTGATCGCTCTCTCTCTCTCTCTCTCTCTCCGTGTTTGCTCTCTCTTTCTCTCTCTCTCTCCGTGTTTGCTCTCTCTCTCTCTCTCTCTCTCTCCGTGTTTGCTCTCTTTCTCTCTCTCTCTCCGTGTTTGCTCTCTCTCTCTCTCTCTCCGTGTATGCTCTCTCTCTCTCTCTCTCCGTGTTTGCTCTCTTTCTCTCTCTCTCTCCGTGTTTGCTCTCTTTCTCTCTCTCTCCCCAAGCTCTATAACAATGTATACCACACAAGTGTGATGGATAAATGCAAACTCATCCATGTAAAGAGACAGATATATTTACAATAACACATGGCAAAATGTGCGTATACAATAGTAGGACTATGACAAGACACAAACTCTGACGCAGGAAGGGCTGGAATACCTTCCAGATAAGTCCGGAATCAATACAAAGATAAACGGGCACTTGGCAGGTTGTGTTGTAGTTGACTGCTAGGCTGTGATATCTACACCTGTCAACTCAACATATTTAATTTTAGGACACTGCCAATTAGTTGCCCTTCAAAACAACTTGAAACCCTCTCTGAACTGTTTCAGGTCTTTTGAAATCCTTGAAAGGGCAAGTTGCTTTTCAAGGGGGTTTTCAAGGTTTCAAGGGTTGCTACGAGCCCTGGGGAAAGCTGTGGTTAGGTTTATCTCACCCACTCCAAAACAGGGTTCTGAAATCCGCACATGGGACAAGTTCCAGTATATCTGATGTTTGTTGACAGAAAGGTTTATGTTTGTTGACAGACAGGTTTATGTTTGTTGACAGACAGATTTATGTTTGCTGAGACAGGTTTATGTTTGTTGACAGACAGGTTTATGTTTGTTGACAGATAGTTTTATGTTTGTTGACAGACAGGTTTATGTTGTTTGTTGACAGACAGGTTTATGTTGTTTGTTGACAGGCAGGTTCATGCTTGTTGACAGATAGGTTTATGTTTGTTGACAGATAGGTTTGTTATATGTTGTTTGTTAGGTTTATGATGTTTGTTTACAGACAGGTTTATGTTGTTTGCTAACAGATAGGTTTAGGTTTGTTGACAAATAAGTTTATGTATGTTAATTTGGGTGTGGAAGACAAGGGAAAACTGCCACATTAATGTCACAGGACGTTTACAAGAAGTCATCGAGCTGTATTAAAGTGAACGGTGACTTTAAAAGTGGAGTCAATTAGCTGGTGTGATATTAACACAACCAGTAAATCTGTTATTTCACACAATAAACAGATATAACTATGTACAATTGACAGTCCTATGCTCCACTGGGTGACAGAAATTACAATAACCACTGTCTTGTAACCTGTCAATACTGTTGTTAAGGCTGTCAACAATGTTAAGCACATGCCATCATGGTAACAGTTTAAGATGGCCACCCCCATTTTTAACATGCACCACAGAGAAGCAGTGTTCTGTTATTGGCTATTTATTTTTAGTGAAGGGGTAAGACTTCTAGAAATTCATCAGCGAATGAATGTGACGTTGTATGCCTGTTAGTTCAGCAGTAGTATGAGTGGAGTAGGCTGTTTCAAGACGCCAGCAAGAATGCCTGCTGGAGAACACTGGGAGAGGAGAGGAGTGGGTCAGAGCCCCAGAGGAAAAGCCTGACCTGTGTAGGATTATGATCACACTGGGCCGGGAGCGCAGAGAGTGGCCCGCGGGTGCTACAGAGGTGGAAGTCCAACAGATGATTCACGACCATTCACGTCCAGGTGATCTGATTTCTATACAGATGGTTCAGTTTTGAGAGGAAAGAGAAGTGCCCGGTGGTTTGTAGCGAAAGTCAGTGGAAAATCTTCAGTGCAAGACAGCCTAGCATACGACATCACAACATCTAGCATGAGAATGGAGGTGGAGGCTGTAACTGCAGCTCTCCGGTGGCTAGAGAACAAGATACATACACATGTCGTAATTGTAACAGACTCTAAAGGCATGCTAAGAAAGGTGAAGACAGGGATGCTTCGAGCAGAGTGGCAAGCTTCACTGGGAAGGTCACAGGTGGTGAGCATACTTTGGATCTTTTCTCCAGGCCATGCTGGCATGGTGGGGAATGAACAGGCAGACAGATTGGCTAGATCTGCACCACTGGGTGGTGAATTGATACATGACAAGGCAGACTGGTCAAGGCCCTTTGGGAACAGGCAACGGAATCAGTAGAGAAAGATGATTATTATGGCCTGGAGAGAATGAGGCATCTGGGTGTAACTAGAGGGTCTAGCCGGCTCACTACACTCAGAGGAAAGGCAAGACGGATATACAACCAGATTGTGACCGGTACCATCAGTACTGGAACTCTGCACTGGCTGCTGAAGATGAGAACAGAGCACACATGGGAATGCCCTGAGTGCTGTGATGTCAATTCTTGACTCAACTCAACACGGCGGCAGTCGGCTCTGGGGTCAAAACTCAGTGTGCCTGACGCTGGCGTAAACAGGTCTGCCACAGCACTCACACCTTCCTGAAGCCTCCTGCTCCATTCACACTTTTAGCTGGGCTTACAAACATGCATCACCCAGGCCCCCACTTTGACCTTCACTCGCTGATCAATCTATCTAGCTTTCACCCCTTTACTGATTAAACAAAATGGATAACACAGCACTGCTCCTTTTTTGGTGCATGCCAAAAGTGGGGTGGCCATCTTTAAACTGTCATTATGATGTCACCGTGCTCAAATTCACAAGGAAGCTGTCTGCTTAACACCTTGACATTAACAAGAATACTGACAGGTCAACAAGACAATGGTGTAATAGGAAATGACACTTTTCCACACCTTTAGGCATATAGGGCTAGACCTGTATGTTATAGACCAATCGGCACAAGATGGGTGATGTGGTCAGCATCACGCCGGACGCCTTTACTTCCTGGGACTGGACCCCGTACCCACTCAAGGTTGGGTCGACTTGGAAGCCAAGGTCATTTTTGATAAATGTCCGGCTCCGCCAGGGAGCGAACCCACAACCTTCCGACCCACAGGAAGACAATGGTGTGATTACTGTAATTTCTCTCAAGACTTTAGAGGTTTTCATCATGACGCTGCAGGCGACGATCACAATGATCACCAAACCCAAAGCCAACTAAAAGCTAACTCAAAATACAATAATTTTAAAATGATTTTGTACAGAATGAGTACAAAGATGATGAAGATGAAGATGATAATTATGATAATGCTACTGAAAGAAAACCCAAACCAACTGGCAGCTAATTCAAAATACATTAACATCTAGATGATTTGTATACAGTGTGTATAAAGACGAAGATGATGATGATGATTGCGGTAACCTAATCAACCCGACTCAAAATAAATTAATTTTCTGCTTGATGACCTTTCTGCAGATGGGGCAGATCCGTAGAGAGTCGGCACACTGACTGCATGTGGCGTGGCCACATTGGAAGACCCGGTTCCGCTGCCGCTCCATGCAGATGGGACAGTTGATTGTGTCCTCGAGTTCTTGTAGCCGTTTCTTGAGGACGGCTTCCTCCGACTGTGAGGTGGATCCCTCAGTTCTAATGACATGACCATCTGGGGGATATAAAGAGAATCAAACTTGAGACCTTTAAAAACATTTTTAAAGATTTGAACATCGTAAAAAAACTGGCTCTAAAAGCAGAGTCTCAAAAACTGAAGTAATTTGGCCTGTCAAATATTGCAGAGTTTTGGGAAGAACAGTAACAGAGCTTGGAAAGGACAGTAACAGAGCTTGGAAAGGATAGTAACAGAGCTTGGAAAGGATAGTAACAGAGCTTGGAAAGGACAGTAACAGAGCTTGGAAAGAACAATAACCGAGCTTGGAAAGGAGAGTAACAGAGCTTGGAAAGGACAGTAACAGAGCTTGGAAAGGACAGTAACAGAGCTTGGAAAGAACAATAACCGAGCTTGGAAAGGACAGTAACAGAGCTTGGAAAGGAGAGTAACAGAGCTTGGAAAGGAGAGTAACAGAGCTTGGAAAGAACAATAACCGAGCTTGGAAAGGAGAGTAACAGAGCTTGGAAAGGATAGTAACAGAGCTTGGAAAGGATAGTAACAGAGCTTGGAAAGGATAGTAACAGAGCTTGGAAAGGATAGTAACAGAGCTTGGAAAGGATAGTAACAGAGCTTGGAAAGGATAGTAACAGAGCTTGGAAAGGAGAGTAACAGAGCTTGGAAAGGACAGTAACCGAGCTTGGAAAGAACAATAATGGAGCTTAGAAACAACAGTAATGGAGCTCGGAAATAACGGTGATGGAGTTAGAAAGAACAGTAACAGAAGGTATGTTTTCAGGTAAGGGAGGCAGATGCAGACCACTGAGAAGATGGGCACATGATTTTAGAGACACGTCATCATCATCATGTAGCAGGTCCTTCATAGAATATAGCCTTCACCTCTGCCTGCCTGAAAGAAACTCATTCATACCCAAGGAGTCACTTATATCCTGTGCCCATCTTTGTGTTGGTCGGCCCCTGCCTCTCCTTCCTGGTACCATCCCTTCTGCTATTATTATTTTTTCAATCTGTCGTGGTGCTTGATATGGCCAAAATATTTCAGCTTCCGAGACAGGATGCTGTTTATTAGCCAATCTTCCTTGATGTTCAGATCTTTTAAGATGTCAGTATTTCTCCTCTTCTTTGTCCAAGATATTCTGAGAATCTTTCTATAGCATTTCAGCTCAAAAGCCCATATTTTCTTCCTTAAGGACTGGAAGATAGTCCACTATTCACATCCGTATTCGCTAGAGCTCTCATAGCCTGAACTACTTTGTTGAGGACGTTTAACCATTAGATAGAGATACCTAGTGCAGACAATTTCATGAAATGGGAGAGCTGGCGAGGGACTGAGTTTCTGTCAGGAGTGTTGCGATGGAAAAAGTTGGTGAATCTGCCTCAGCCCGAATAATAGGAAGACAGAAGTAACAGTAATACCAAAGAAAAGAACAGTATCAAACAATGGTAAAAGTAACGTTTATCTCCCCATGCCCCACTCATATACACACTAGCTCACTTCTGATTGGTAGTTCCTGAACCTGTCACCTCGGCACAAGGTTACTGGGGGGTATTCCGCAATGCCGTTGTATATTTCAGGACACCAGCGCTTTTAACACTCCAAAAACATGGAGAAACTGGCCCTAACACAAACCCCCTGGAGAATGCTGCAACCTATGTCACAGGCATTCTCTTTCTCAGAATGAAAAAAGTAAATGCAAGACATCACAGAAACCAAACAACAGAGCGGGACACGCCCGTAGCATTCAGGAAAGTCGACCAGCCACACAAATTTGTGAATAAAAAATGACCTACTCCCTTCGGGGAGATTAACGTCAAACTAACCTCAAATGAATAATAAAATTCAAGGGTGTTATTTTAGGACAGGTACAGGAGTTCAAATATCTAGGCACATGGATAACATCCTGGGGAAGATGTATCACAGAGATAAAGAACACTAAGTCAGGCTAAACTGAATTTATAAAATGAAAAACATTTTATGTAATAAATACACATTATTGTAGGCAAGGAACCAACAGCCTGCATACATACAAACCAGATGTGTAAAACAGATGTGCAAGCAACACTCAAGTTTTGAAACAAGATTAGAGTCCAGAAGTGGACGAACAAACCAGAGCTTTCCGCAGGAGTTTACAGCTCGTCAATGCAAAAATAAAAGAAAAAAGAAGAAGAAGCAGAAAGTGAAAAAGAAGAAGAAGAAGAAGAAGAAGAAGACAAAAAGGAAGAAGGAGAATAAGAAGGTGAAAAAAGAAGAAGAAGAAGAAGAAAAAGAAAAAGTAAAAGAAGAAAAAGTAAAAGAAGAAGAAGAAGAAGAAGAAGAAGAAGAAGAAGAAGAAGCAGGAGGAGGAGGCTCTAAAGGCGAATACCAACCTTGAGTCTTCTTGTGATTAATGGGCGTCTTACACTGCAAGCACTTCTTCATCTTCACGCAGCACTCCACACAGACCATCTGGTGGCCGCAGGGGACGAACCGAACCAGCGCCGTTGGCGAACAGCACAGTTCACATTCTTCCTTGCCTGGGATCTGGCCTTGCCCCTTAATGGACTCTTGTTTTAGCGTGCTGTGGATATGTAGTCACAGAAAATTTTACTTCCTAATTACTTTTGTGGTCGCAGACAATATATTATTTTATACTGACTTATGTTGTCACAGAAAATGTTACTTTATAATTACTTTTGTGGTCGCAGACAATATATTATTTTATACTGACTTATGTGGTCACAGAAAATGTTACTTTATAATTACTTTTGGTGTCGCATACAATATATTATTTTATACTGACTTATGTAGTCACAGAAAATGTTACTTCATAATTACTTTTGTGGTCGCAGACAATATATTATTTTATACTGACTTATGTGGTCACAGAAAATGTTACTTTATAATTACTTTTGTGGTCGCAGACAATATATTATTTTATAATGACTTATGTGGTCACAGAAAACTTGTTATTTTACCATGATTTATGCGATAGCAGAAAATTTTATTTTTATACTAATTTATGTTAAAACGCTAGCTGAGTATCCTTCACAGGACGTTGCAAAACCAACTCCATCATTTTTTGGGCTGTTGTGGTTTTTCTAGGCAAGTTTACATTCACTGCTTTTTGGACGGTCGGCTTCTCGATACCACTGTTGAAACCAACGCAAGACCCGCAGCTGGGATCGAACCCAGCACCCTTATGTCTCAGCAGAAAATATGTTATTTTATGCTGGCTTATGTGGTCACACAAAATGTTATGTTACGCAAAAGCATCCTTTCCCATGCCTTTCAGGTTTTTTAGGCATTTCAGGCTAGACTTATATATTATAGACCAATCGGCACTCAAGGGGTGATGTGGTCACCATCACGCCAGCCGCCTTTACATCCCAGGACTTCACCTGGTGCCCATTTGAGGCTGGGTGGACCTAGGAGCCAAGGTCATATTTTTTTTTAAGATGGCGCCGACAGTAGCTGACCCCATGACCTTAAGATCCACAGGCGAGTCTAGCCACTACACCACGACGGGTCCTTATTCAGTATTCCGTTGATGAAGACTACATCATCATCATGTGCCCTGCCAACTGGCGTAGGCGCTCATGCGTCTCCACAGATCGCGATCCCTGGTTGCCTGAAACAGCTCTCTTGACGATATCCCTCCATGCCATCACTTCAGCCCATCCAGCATTATCTCTCTTGGTCTGCCTCCACCCCTTTTTTCCACTGATCTTTCCAGTTGTCACGATGTTCTCCAATGTCTCTCTTCTCATTATGTAGCCAAAGAACCGTATTTGTCTCTTCTTATTGTTGTATTTAGAGATCTACTTTCATTAGCTTCTTCCAAACAATTGTTGTTAGTTACTCTTGCCGTCCAAAGTATTCGTAACATTCGTCTCAGAAACTAGATCTCTGTTGCTTCCAAATTCTTCCTAATTTGTTCACTGAAAATCCAAGATTCGCTGCCACACAGCAGAACAGGTTCTATGTAAGATTTTAACACCCTCTTTCTGACATTGAATGAGAGCAAACTTTTGCAGATTTTTTTTCATTCTAATGTAGAGTTAGGCAGAAATATTCAGCTGTGTCTGCATGTGTCTTTTCTATTCCCTCCACAAAACTTTCAAGTTTCAAGTTTGAACAACGGACCAACATCATGACCCATAAGAGTAACCCATAGTAACCCATAAGAGCTCCGTTCGTCTTCTAACTCGAAACTAAGTCTGAAGAAGATCAGCACAGTCCACAGGCCCTATAGCACCGGTGAGGATCCTTAAATACTCTGAGTAGATTTTCAACTCCAAATTTTGCCCAGGCAGCGCCGTTAGGCTCCTCTTTTTCAATTTCCAACTGCCAAGGAATTGTTTAACTCCAAATTTTGCCCGGGCAGCGCCGTTAGGCTCCTCTTTTTCAATTTCCAACTGCCAAGGGATTGTTTAACTCCAAATTTTGCCCGGGCAGCGCCGTTAGGCTCCTCTTTTTCAATTTCCAACTGCCAAGGGATTGTTTAACTCCAAATTTTGCCCGGGCAGCGCCATTAGGCTACTCTTTTTCAATTTCCAACTGCCAAGGGATTGTTTAACTCCAAATTTTGCCCGGGCAGCGCCGTTAGGCTCCTCTTTTTCAATTTCCAACCGCCAAGGGATTGTTTAACTCCAAATTTTGCCCGGGCAGCGCCGTTAGGCTCCTCTTTTTCAATTTCCAACCGCCAAGGGATTGTTTAACTCCAAATTTTGCCCGGGCAGCGCCGTTAGGCTCCTCTTTTTCAATTTTCAACTGCCAAGGGATTGTTTAACTCCAAATGTTGCCCGGGCAGCGCCGTTAGGCTCCTCTTTTTCAATTTCCAACTGCCAAGGGATTTTTTACGCGCTCAACAATGCACACGGGCGTTCGATCTCACTACCAAAAGACCCAGGGGAATTACTAGAAGTCCAAGGGATTGAACCCAGAACCTTTAGCACTTGAGGGGGACACCATGCCTCGAGACCACACAGCCCCCTGAACTTTCTAGTCACAGTTTGTTGTATTAAGTGATTCTTTGTATCTTTTGTGCTTTTTTAAGGCAAAAGAGTATAAGAACTGAATTGAGGGGGGGGGGGGGGGGGCAGCAGAAAATAAAGGCAACAGTAACAAACTATATACATTAAGATAACAAGGGATAAAATAACCACCACTTTAAGTCATTAAAAAGAGAGACACACAAAGATAAAATTATCCACAATTAGATTTTAAAAAAAGAGAGTCCCAAAGGGATCCAATAAAAAGTTACAAGAGGATCGACTTCACTGCGGCAGGTTTTTATCCCCTCAGTTAAGATAACAGAGATAACAGACAGAAAATTAAAAAAGGATAAAATTAACCACATTAACATAACAGACAGAACATTAAAAAAAGATAAAATTAACCACATTAAGATAACAGACAAAACATTAAAAGGATCAAATTAACCACATTACGATAACAGACAGAACATTAAAAAGGATAGAATTAACCACATTAAGATAACAGACAGAACATTAAAAAAGGATAAAATTAACCACATTAAGATAAAAGACAGAACATTAAAAAAGGATAAAATTAACCACATTAAGATAACAGACAGAACATTAAAAAAGGATAAAATTTACCACATTAAGATAAAAGACAGAACATTAAAAAAGGATAAAATTAACCACATTAAGATAACAGACAAAACATTAAAAGGATAAAATTAACCACATTAAGATAACAGACAGAACATTAAAAAAGGATAAAATTAACCACATTAAGATAACAGACAGAATAACACAAAAGGATAAAATCACATTGAGGCAACAAAAAGAACAGGACAAAAGCATAACATTGACCCCTTTGAGATAACAAAAACAAAACAACAAAAAAGGCACAGGATAAAACTATCCACACAAAGACAACAACAAAAAGAAAGAAAGGTACAAGATAAAACTATCCACAAAAAGACAACAAGAACAGGAAGACTCACAAACTGGTTGCAAACTCCTTGATTGCCTCCTCCACCTTGGGGTCACTGATGATGTCCAGCGGAGTCTTGCCCTGGTTGTTCTTCTTCTTGAGGTCAGCTCCCTGCTGGGCCAGGTAGCAGGCGATGACCGCCCCCAGCTTCTCCTCCTTGTCGCTCATCCCCAGCTTACTGCTGATCTGTTTGCCGACAAAGCAGAGGACGGATCAGAGAATGCTATAGGGTACTCCCAGTTCTTTTCACCCAGTCTCTAGGTAATGGGTACCAGAGTTAACTCTCTGGGGTGAATGGAGGAACGTCGCTGTAGCTACAGTGTTGCGTGCGGACGGCGACACAGGCGGACAGTTTCTTATCAGCTGTCCATACTGGTGGCAGAGCACTTATGGTTTATAACTGTGTGCAATGACGCTGGTTCACATCTCCCGACTTTACCTTTTTTTAACCTTTACAAAGGAAATTAACCCCTCTACAATAGAGAGGTGGGAGCCACTGTGGTGTAGTGGTTAGATCCTCGCCTGCAGATCTGAAAGTCATGGGTTCAAATTTGAATGGAGCCAGACTTTTTCCAAACATGACCTTGGCTCCAAAGTCGACCCGGCCTTGAGTTGGTACCAGGTAAAGTCCTGAGAAGTAAAGGCGGCTGGCGTGATGCTGACCACATCACGCACAAGAGAAGGGCGCTGCGGGAAGTTACCAGGGGATCTGGCCGACGCTCAACACTCAGGGGAAGGGCGAGAAGAATGTACACTCAGACTGTTACTGGTACCGTCTTCTTTTTTTTTTTTATACTGCTGAAGATAGGGACGTAACGCATATGGGAGTGTGCTGAGTGCTGTGATGGGGATTCTTATTTCAACATTTTACCAGCTTGCTCATTTCCCTGCATGCTCGCGTGCCTCGGCACAAAAGTTAAACTGTTCTCTATCAACCCTGACCAACTCAGAGACATCTACACACCACAACAGAACAGTAATGATGATGATGATGATGTTTCTAAGTCTATAGCCAGTAAAAAGTAAAGGACCCTTTCCACGCCTTTAGGCGTAAAGGGCATATAGGGCTAGTCCTATATTTTGTAGACCAATCGACACAAGATGGATGATGTAGTCAGCATCACACTGGCCGCCTTTACTTCCCAGGACTGCACCTGATACCCACTATAGGCTAGGTCCACCTGGGAGCCAAGGTCATTTTGGAAAAATGTCCGGCTCCACCAGGGAGCGAACCTACAATCTTCCGATCTGCGACAAGCGTCTAGCGAAGCTAGTTTACATAAAATTAATTCCGACTCAGCAATATTTAACAGATACTTACAGAACCCAACACGGGCGAGTTGTCTTTCTCAGCAGTCACCATCTGTTTCATCAGGGCCAGGTGAAGACAGGTGTCTCCGTCCTCGTCTGTCACATTCACGTTCGCCTTCTTACTCACCAGCAACTCAATGATGGAGGTATGGCCCTGGGAAACTGCCAGAAAGAGCGGCGTCTGCCGGCGGTTGTTCCGGATCTCAATTTCAGCTCCAAACTGTAAGAATAAAACAAGCAATTAAAAATGGCAGAACAAATTTGCTTGTATAAACATTCGGTATACACAGAGATAAAGATAGGGTTACAATATCCATACAAAGGGTTAACAACTCATGGTTTCTGGATACTTAAAAAAAATGTATATATATACACACACACATACACATAAATATGTATATATATATATAAAAAGAAATATAAAGTAAAATACACAAAAATATGGATGGTAAATGAAATATAGAATCATATAAACATGCACACACTCAAGCATACATACGCACACACCCATACACATGTAAAAAAAAATACACATATATATATATACACACACACACATAAACCGCACAAAGATTGACGCTATACACACACACGCCACATACATACATTCATACAAAAATGTGAGTCAAGTCTCATATGGCCAAAAGGACCTATACTTTACATTCACATATTTACACACATTCATACACACAGCACACTCCCACATTTATACACACAGCACACTCCCACATTCATACACACAGCACACTCCCACATTCACACACACAGCACACTCCCACATTCACACACACAGCACACTCCCACATTCACACACACAGCACAATCCCACATTCATACACACAGCACACTCCCACATTCATACACACAGCACACTCCCACATTCATACACACAGCACAATCCCACATTCATACACACAGCACACTCCCACATTCATACACACAGCACACTCCCACCTTTATACACACAGCACACTCCCACCTTTATACACACAGCACACTCCCACATTTATACACACAGCATACTCCCACATTTATACACACAGCAGACTGCCACATTTATACACACAGCACACTTCCACATTTATACACACAGCACACTCCCACATTTATACACACAGCACACTCCCACATTTATACACACAGCACACTCCCACATTCATACACACAGCATACTCCAACATTTATACACACAGCACACTCCCACATTCATAAACACAGCATACTCCCACATTTATACACACAGCACACTCCCACATTCATACACACAGCACACTCCCACATTTATACACACAGCACACTCCCACATTCATACACACACACATAGCAGCAAACTCCCACATTCATACACAGCATCACACATTCACACACAGCTTACTCCCACATTCATACACACAGCAGACTCCCACATTTATACACACAGCACACTCCCACATTCATACACACAGCATACTCCCACATTCATACACACAGCACAATCCCATATTCATACACACAGCACAATCCCACATTCATACTCACAGCACCTCCCACATTCATACACACAGCACCTCCCACATTCATACACACAGCACCTCCCACATTCATACACACAGCACACTCCCACATTCATACACACAGCACAGTCCCACATTCATACACACAGCACATTTACACATTCATGCACACAGCACAGTCCCACATTCATGCACACAGCACAGTCCCACATTCATACACACAGCACACCCCCACATTCATACACACAGCACAATGCCATATTCATACACACAGTACACTCTCACATTCATACACACAGCACACTCCCACATTCATACACACAGCACACTCCCACATTCATACTCACAGCACCTCCCACATTCATACACACAGCACCTCCCACATTCATACACACAGCACACTCCCACATTCATACACACAGCACAATCCCACATTCATACACACAGCACACTCCTGCATTCATACACACAGCACACTCCCACATTTATACACATAGCACACTCCCACATTCATACACACAGCACACTCCCACATTTATACACACAGCACACTCCCACCTTTATACACACAGCATACTCCCACATTTATACACACAGCACAATCCCACATTCATACACACAGCACAATCCCACATTCATACACACAGCACAATCCCACATTCATACACACAGCACAATCCCACATTCATACACACAGCACAATCCCACATTCATACACACAGGACACTCCCACATTCATACACACAGCACACTCCCACATTCATACACACAGCACACTCCCACATTCATACACACAGCACACTCCCACATTCATACACACAGCACACTCCCACATTCATACACACACATCACATTCATCACCACACTTCATCACACACAGCACACTCCCACATTCATACACAAAGCACACTCCCACATTCATACACACAGCACACATACACCCACATTCATACACACAGCATATTCCCACATTCATATCACACAATACACACAGCACACTCCCACATTCATACACAGCACACTCCCACATTCATACACACAGCACACTCCCACATAAATACACACAGTACATTCATACACACAGCACACTCCCACATTCATACACACAGCACACTCCCACATTCATACACACAGCACACTCCCACATTCATACACACAGCACACTCCCACATTCATACACACAGCACACTCCCACATTCATACACACAGCACACTCCCACATTCATACACACAGCACACTCCCACATTCATACACACAGCACACTCCCACATTCATACACACAGCACACTCCCACATTTACACACAGCACACTCCCACATTCATACTCACAGCACACTCCCACATTCATACACACAGCACACTCCCACTTTCATACACACAGCACACTCCCCCATTCATACACACAGTACACTCCCACATTTACACACAGCACACTCCCACATTCATACTCACAGCACCTCCCATATTCACACACACACATCATACTCCCACATTTACACACACAGTAATTTCAGACATTCATACACACAGCACACTCCCACATTCATAAACAAACAAATATAGATATAAATCTACACATCTGCCAATACATGAAAGAAGAAGAAGAGGAGGAAGAAAAAGGAGAAGAAGAAGAAGAAGAAGAGGAGGAGGAGGAAGAAATGTACCCCATACATACACGTAACAACATGGCAGCCACGTCCCGGTGGCCATTCAAGGCTGCCAGATGCAGGGCGGAGAAGCCATCGTCTTTCTTGAGGTCCACAATCTGCGGACATCTTTGCAGAATCTTCTCCGTGGCACTGGAATCAACAAGGGAACAGCTAGAGCAATCCGGTCCAGCTCACAAATATCCTTTCTCTGCTGCTGGGGCTTCTTCTTTTTCTTCTTAGTACACATCCATTTTACAGATCTGACTGTCGGTATGCAGACTGTTGGTTCCTTAGTTCTCAGGCAGATGCGCTACCGGTACCATCAGAATCGAAACTGTGCTGGCTGCTGAAGATGAGGACAGAGCACGCATGGGAATGCCCCGAGTGCTGTGATGTCAATTCTGGACTCAACTCAACTCAGGCAGAGGCACTCTGACTTTGAAAGTACACCCCTACTAATTGAGGTTTACAACATGTTTTGGAGGGGGGAGGAGGAAAAGGATGTGGGGGAGGGGAGGTCCCGGAACCCACAAAAGGACTGCTGATCTTCTTCTTCTGCCTTTCTAACCCCCAATGGAGCATAGGCCCTCAACCAATGTTCTATCCTTCGCTATCGCATGCAGCTTTCTCCATCTTTATAGCTTCATTCTCTAGCTCCTTAAGCCAGGTGTTTTTTGGTCTTACTTTATTTCTATGCCCCTGTGGGTTCCGGTGCAAAGACTTCTAGTTATATTGTGCTCATGTTTTCTCAACGTGTGTAGTCCTTTACAACACCAGCGTCTTTTCTTTGCCTCTTGGTTCACTGGAGCTTGTTCACTTCTCTCCTAAAGTTCTACATTACTGATTCTATCACGCCATTTAATTCCCTCTATTCTGTGCAGGCACCAGTTAATGAATGTCTGTTGTTTATTAGTAATTGCCTACTGATGCTAGAAGTTAAAGTTAACAGGATCAGCTTCATAATGTGTTATCCCACACGGCTCTGTCTCTCATGAGAGTATCACACAAAGCACACACTCCATAGCTCCAACAGCAATCCCCAAGGACTTGTGAATGAACAGCAGACCCACAAAACAAACCTACAAGCTTCAGGGTCTTCTTGTTTTTAGCATTTAACGACTGTAATCTCAGGGTAAAAATTCTGGTTGTTCATCCACTTTTGGAATTTGGTCTTGTTTTTTGAACCTATCATCTAAAAAGAGGGAAAGATGTTAACAAACTTAAAACACATCATCCTGGAGCATCATCTTAAAAGATGCCAACAAACTTACAACACATCACCCTGGAGAATCATTTTAAAAGATGCCAACAAACCTACAACAAATTGCCTTGGAGCATCATCTTAAAAGATGCCAACTAACTTACATTACATTGCCCTGGAGCATCATCTAAAAAGATGCCAACAAACTTAAAATACATTGCCTTGGAGCATCATCTAGAAAAATGGAAAGATGCCAACAAACTTACACCACATTGCTTTGGAGCATCATCTAGAAAAATGGAAAGATGCCAACAAACTTACAACACATTGCCTTGGAGTATCATCTAGAAAGATGCCAACAAACTTACAACACATTGCCTTGGAGCATCATCTAGAAAGATGCCAACAAACTTACAACACATTGCCTTGGAGCATCACCTAGAAAAATGGAAGGATGCCAACAAACTCACAACACATTGCCTTGGAGCATCACCTAGAAAAATGGAAGGATGCCAACAAACTTACAACACATTGCCTTGGAGCATCATCTAGAAAGATACCAACAAACTTACAACACATCCTTGGAGCATCACCTAGAAAAATGGAAGGATGCCAACATACTTACAACACATCGCCTTGGAGCATCATCTAGACAGATGCCAACAAACTTACAACACATTGCCTTGGAGCATCATCTAGACAGATGCCAACAAACTTACAACACATTGCCTTGGAGCATCATCTAGAAAGATACCAACAAACTTACAACACATTGCCTTGGAGCATCACCTAGAAAAATGGAAGGATGCCAACAAACTTACAACACATTGCCTTGGAGCATCATCTAGACAGATGCCAACAAACTTACAACACATTGCCTTGGAGCATCATCTAGACAGATGCCAACAAACTTACAACACATTGCCTTGGAGCATCATCTAGACAGATGAAAACAAACTTACAACACATTGCCCTTGAGAGCGGCGTGGTGCAGGACGTTGAAGCCCCGCTTGTTCTTCAGCGTGAAGTCAATGCTCTTGTAGCTTACCAGCAGCTCGATGATCTGATGGTTCTCCTTGCCGATGGCGTCGTGCAGGGCTGTGTCCCCATAGGCGTCCTGCATCAAAGGAAACAAGACATTTCACTGGTGTCACACACACAAGCTGACAATAGTGTAGTTCAGGGCTGTGTCCCCATAGGCGTCCTGCATCAAAGGAAACAAGACATTTCACTGGTGTCACACACACAAGCTGACATTAGTGTAGTTCAGGGCTGTGTCCCCATAGGCGTCCTGCATCAAAGGAAACAAGACATTTCACTGGTGTCACACACACAAGCTGACAACAGTGTAGTTCAGGGCTGTGTCCCCATAGGCGTCCTGCATCAAAGGAAACAAGACATTTCACTGGTGTCACACGCACAAGCTGACATTAGTGTAGTTCAGGGCTGTGTCCCCATAGGCGTCCTGCATCAAAGGAAACAAGACATTTCACTGGTGTCACACGCACAAGCTGACATTAGTGTAGTTCAGGGCTATTCAACTGGCAGCCTACGAACCAAACTGACCCGTCCAGGCTGAGCAAGTGGCCAGAGGATTACCTGCCAACTTCTTCTTCTTCTTCAGCATTCCGAGCCCTTGAGGTTCATTGCTGCAGAAATCACTTGCTTCCACTCATCTCTCTGGTTGGCCTTCTCTTTCCAGACGGTGACACCAATTGTTTGCAGGTCTGTCTGGATATTATCTCTCCGTCGTCTTCTTGGTCTTCCTCGTGGTCTGCAAACATTCATCTCCCTTGTGTATACAGTTGTATACATTCTGACATTCTTTCAATATGAACTAACCATTTCAGTCTATCAGCTGCTTTCACAGAACAGTGAATAGAGTGAGAAGCAACAACGAAATTCATAATCTGTTTAAATCACCACTGATCACTGGCAGCATGAGAATCTTATAGCTAAATACGCTCAATTTTAAAACTGCTTTCCCACCCCGTATCCCACCCCCCCCCCTTCCACTGAAACCCCTTTGTGCCCTCTTAGGAGGCACCCCCCCACCCCCAATGGAAAGCACTGCTATGAAAACTGACATGACATCAAATGACAGCACCGCTTACACCGCCAGAAACTGACACGACATCCAATGACAGCACCACTTACACCACCAGAAACTGACACGACACTGACACAACATACAATGACAGTACCGCTTACACTGCCAGAAACTGACATGACATCAAATGACAGAACCACTTACACCGCCAGAAACTGACACAACATCAAATGACAGCACCGCTTACACCGTCAGAAACTGACATGACATTGACATGACATTAAATGACAGCACCGCTTACACCGCCAGAAACTGACACGACATCCAATGACAGCACCACTTACACCGCCAGAAACTGACACGACACTGACATGACATCCAATGACACCACCGCTTACACCACCAGAAACTGACACGACACTGACATGACATCCAATGACAGCACCGCTTACACCGCTGGAAACTGACACAACACTGACATGACATCCAATGACAGCACCGCTTACACCGCCGGAAACTGACATGACATCCAATGACAGCACCGCTTACACTGCCAGAAACTGACATGACATCAAATGACAGCACCGCTTACACCACCAGAAACTGACATGACATCCAATGACAGCACCGCACCACCAGAAACTTACATGACATGCAATGACAGCACCGCTTACACCGCCAGAAACTGACACGACACTGACATGACATCAAATGACAGCAATGCTTACACCACCAGAAACTGACATGACATCCAATGACAGCACCACTTACACCACCAGAAACTGACACGACACTGACATGAGATCTAATGACAGCACCACTTACACCGCCAGAACTGACACGACATCCAATGACAGCACCGCTTACATTGCCAGAAACTTACACGACACTGACATGACATCAAATGACAGCACCACTTACACTGCCGAAAACTGACATGACACTGACATGACATCCACTGACATCACCGCTTACACCACCAGAAACTGACACGACACTGACATGACATCCAATGACATCACCGCTTACACCACGAGAAACTGACACGACACTGACATGACATCCAATGACAGCACCGCTTACACTGCCAGAAACTGACATGACATCAAATGACAGCACCGCTTACACCGCTGGAAACTGACATGACATCAAATGACAGCACCGCTTACACCACCAGAAACTGATATGACATCCAATGACAGCACCGCACCACCAGAAACTTACATGACATGCAATGACAGCACCGCTTACACCACCAGAAACTGACACGACACTGACATGACATCCAATGACAGCACTGCTTACACTGCCAGAAACTGACATGACATCAAATTACAGCACCGCTTACACCACCAGAAACTGATATGACATCCAATGACAGCACCGCACCACCAGAAACTTACATGACATGCAATGACAGCACCGCTTACACCGCCAGAAACTGACATGACATCCAATGACAGCACTGCTTACACTGCCAGAAACTGACATGACATCAAATGACAGCACCGCCAGAAACTGACACGACATCCAATGACAGCACCACTTACACCACTAGAAACTGACACAACACTGACATGAGATCTTAACACAGCATCGCTTACACTGCCAGAAACTGACACGACATCCAATGACAGCACCACTTACACTGAGAGAAACTGACACGACACTGACATGACAACAAATGACAGCACCGCTTACACTGCCAGAAATTGACACGACACTGATATGACATTAAATGACAGCACCGCTTACACTGCCAGAAAGTGACACGACACTGACATGACATCAAATGACAGCACCGCTTACACCGCCAGAAACTGACATGACACGGAATGACGCCCAGACAGGTTTGCCTACCTGAATGTTGACATTGCAGTCCCAGGAGAGCAGCACTCTGACACACTCCTGATGCTGTTTGTTGACCGCCACATGGAGGGTGCTGCAGCCGCCGTTGTTCAAGGAATCAATTTTGGCCCCTTTCATCAGCAGCTGGTGCATCACTTCAGGCTGGTTGCTACCAAAGAGAAAGAAAGGATGAATAAGACATGGGCCGTGGCGTAGCGGCAAGATACTTGCCTGAAGGCTATGGGTTCAAATCTGCATCCAGTTGGATTTTTTCTTCTTCAAAAATGACCTTGGCTCTTGGCTCGACCCAGCCTAAAATGCGGTTTGGGGGGGGGAACTTTTCTTTTAGTTCACTTCATCTTGGGCAGTCTGGTCAGAGATTTTGGCGTTCCCAGGAAAGTCCATTATTATTATTATTGGGGGGGGGGGGGTGTTTGGTTGGTTAGGGTAAGTTTTAGCCAATTTCACACCCTAACACCCCTATTCTTGTGGACTTTCTAGAGGACCACCCATGAAATCTCAGAGTCCCCAAAATAGGGTGAATTAAAAGAAAAGAACCACAATGGGTTCCAAGTAGAGCTCTGGGAAGTAAAGGCAGCTGGAATGACACCGGCAAAATCCCCCACAAAGTGCTGACTGGTCTAGAAAATATAGGTCCAACTAAATAGCGAATTGACCGAGGGGCAGGGAAAGGGTCCTTTATTTTTTAAATTTACAAACAAAAGATGAAGATCATAAGAGACATGGACAGACCAGAGCAAGTTATTATTCTACACTTTAGAACAGGACACAATCGACTTCGCAGTCACATGTATGCAAAATTTAAAATCGGCGAATCAGCCATGTGTACTTGTGGATTTTCACCTGAGACAACAGATCACGTCCTCCAAGACTGTCCCAAATACAACGCATCAAGGCAACACTTCTGGCCAAGAGAGTCAATGGTGGAAGTCAAACTTTATGGGTCACTGAGTGAATTACAAAAGACAGTAAAGTTCATACTAGAGACAACACTGCAGGTATAGATAATCTATTTCAAGCGAACAAAAGAAGAAGAAGATAAGAGACAATCCATGCACCCACACTGTACCAACTCTGGTTGAACCATCAAAGCACTAGTTGTATAAAACTTTCCCCACTCAACCTCCACTCAACTATACTCAACCCCCAGTCAATTATACTAAACATACACCCAAACATACTCAACCTCCACCCAAATATACTCAACCTTCACCCAACTATACTAGGCCAGAATCACAGGACTACTCCTGCGTGTGTGTGCTGAGCGATTCTTTGAGCATGATCTGGCGGGTCGAGGCAGGCAGGTTACGCAGACAGTGGTTTGAGTCATTGCAAAACTCTCCTGTGTGTGCAGTTACCTTCATATTTGTCACAGGATATGCAGGTGGTGTTGTTAATGAAAGAGCTGATAGACTGGCAGGTGCTGCATTAACTGAAGATGGCCGCCCCATCGATCACGCAGACACTGTCAATGCCCTTAGAGAGAGGGGACGTTCCAAAGATTTTGAAAGCAACCTGTCCACATCACTGCTAGGAATACGAGAATTTGGAGTAAAAATCGGCACAGCCAAGCATGAGAAGCACACACCAACGCACACAAAGTCTTGCCAACCAGCAAAGGACTGGCACTATTAACTGTGCAACGCTAATGAATATGTTCAGAGGAAAATCTGAGCACCTATGGTTGTGTCCCGAGTGCTGTAAAGATAATCCAACTCATAATTATATTGGACCTTCAGCAACTATAACAAATCTCCACCCAACTAAACCCAATCTTAACCCAACAGTAAACTTTAACCCAACAACACTAAACCTGCTCTTAACTATACTAAACACCCACTTGACTATACCAAACACTCACTTAACTATTCTAAGCCTCTACTTAATTATGCTTAGCCTTCACTAAACTGTACTAAACTTAAATTTATACTAAACCTACACCCAACTATACTAAACCTACACCCAACTATACTAAACCTACACCCAACTATACTAAACCTACACCCAACTATACTAAACCTACACCCAACTATACTAAACCTACACCCAACTATACTAAACCTACACCCAACTATATTAAACCTACACCCAACTATACTAAACCCACACCCAACTATACTAAACCTACACCCAACTATACTAAACCTACACCCAACTATACTAAACCTACACCCAACTATACTAAACCTACACCCAACTATACTAAACCCACACCCAACTATACTAAACCCACACCCAACTATACTTAACCTACACAAAACTATACGAAACCTACACCCAACTATACTAAACCTACACCCAACTATACTAAACCTACACCCAACTATACTAAACCTACACCCAACTATACTAAACCTACACTACACTCAACTATACTAAACCTACACAAAACTATACGAAACCTACACCCAACTATACTAAACCTGCATCCACCTACACTAAACCTACAACCAACTACACTAAACCTACACTCAGCTATACTAAACCTACACCCAACTATACTAAACCTACACCTAACTATACTAAACCTACACCCAACTATACTAAACCTACACTCAACTATACTAAACCTACACCCAACTATACAAAACCTGCATTCACCTATACCAACCATCCATCCAACTATATTAAACCTGCATCCAGCAATACTTAATCTATGCCCAACTAACTAAACCTACACACAATTATACTAATCCTACAACCAACTATATGCAAACCTGTCCCTACTACACTCAACCTCCACAGATGGATAAGATAAGATAAGACAAGGGCAGAGAAGACCAGGACAAATAAGACGAGGAAAAAAAAGACAAAGAGATAAGTTAAGGACAGATAAGACAAGGAAAGATAAGACATGAAAAGATAAGACAAGGAAATATAAGACAAGATACGGAAAGATAAGACAAGGAAAGATAAAACAGGGACAGACAAGACAAGTAAAAATAAGACAAGGAAAGTTCAGACAAGACAACAAAATATAAGCCAAGACAAGGAAAGTTGAGACAAAGAAAGATAAGAGAATGAAAGATAGGCCAAGACAAGGAAAGATAAGCCAAGACAAGGAAAGATAAGCCAAGAAAAGGAAAGATAAGACAATGAAAGATAGGCCAAGACAAGGAAAGATAAGACAAGGAAAGATAAGTCAAGGAAAGATAAAAAGGATCAGGAAAGATAAGGCAAGGGAAGATAAGGCAAGGAAAGATAAGCCAAGACAAGGAAAGATAAGCCAAGACAAGGAAAGATAAGCCAAGACAAGGAAAGATAAGAAAAGATGAGGAAAGATAAGACAAGGAAAGATAAATCAAGGAAAGATAAGACAAGGAAAGATAAAAAGGATCAGGAAAGATAAGGCAAGGGAAGATAAGGCAAGCAAATGCTCACCCGAAAGCGGAGTAATGCAAGGCAGAGTCCCCATCCTCGTCCTTGACCTCCAGGCTGGCCCCACACGACAGAAGTAGCTGGACAATGTCCTTGTGGCCTTGGTGGCTGGACACCTGCAGAGCCGACTTACCTGCGCTCTGCTGGTCAACCTGCAACAGGTACGGTTGTACTAGAGTTGGAGAATATCAATGAGCTACAGCTACTACTACTACTACTGCTACAGCTACTACTACTGCTGCAGCTACTACTACTATTACTACTACTACTGCTGCAACTACTACTGCTCCTACTACTACAGCTCCTATTGTTGCTACTTCTACTACTACTGCTGCTGCTACCATTGCTGCTACTATTTCTGCTGCTACTACTACTGCTGTTGCTACTGCTGCTGCTACTATTGCTGCTACTACTACTATTGCTGCTGCTACTACTACTGCTGCTACTATTGCTGCTGCTGCTACTGCTGCTATTATTACTACTATAAGTATATCTTCATATTTGCAAAGAGTTAACATGGATAAGCATAGTCAGGGAGTTAAGAGATAACTGGATGCAGCTGAGTGTAACTGGGTTACAGAGCAGTTACAGGTAGTTGGGGGGGGGGGGGGGGGGGGGGGGGGGTGAAACACAGAGAGAGGAAGAGAGACAAAAGACACACAGATACAGGCAAAGAGTTACATTGCACAGAGTGTTACCGGCAGAGTAATAGACTATTGCAGGAAGAGTGTAACAGTTTCACAAACAATCAAAAATGGGTTACATGTAGTTCTATTACAGCTACAGGTAGTGAGAGAGAAGGGGGGGAGGGAGGGAGAGAGAGATAAGGTGGTGGGGGAGGGGGGAAGAGGAGAGAGAGCTAGTTTCAAGCACAGAGTTACATTGTTACTGTCAATCAGTGATATGACTTTTACTATGGCTATTGCAATTTCTGAACCTTTATATACTTCATCATCATGTAGCAGGTTATTTGCAAAATGTCGCTCTCATCACGGTCTGCCTGAAAGAAACTCAGTCTCTCGTCAGCTCTCCCGCCTCATGTACATTTACACTCAAGGGGTCACTTATATCCTGTGCCCATCTTCGTGTTGGTCGGCCCTTGCCCCTCCTTCCGCCGTGGTGTTTGATGTGACCAAAATATTAGTTTCCGAGACAGGATATACTTACTGCATGAATTTTCACTCATCCTATGCCCTGTAACACGGCCTGTAGAGTTCCCCATCTTTGTCATGCACATTCAAACAGAACTCTTCTGTAACAAAATTACACTACTGTGTTATTACCCGTGTGGGTTCTGAGGCCCCATCGTGGGGGAAACAAGAATAGACCCACTGTCTCCCCAACAAGTATGTCCTAGGAGTCAACTAACTGCGGACCTCCCTCGAAGCCGGAATACATCTGCCTGAGAGGCAAGGAACCACAAGTCTTCTACATCCTCTTCAAGTCACTTATGACGCATAAGGGGCATTCACAAGTGATCTCCATTGCTGCCGGTCTGCTGCTTTTCTGCCCATGGTATCCCATGTCAGTTAACATTCCTTCATTTCCCGTTCTATTGTCCTTCTCCAGGTTTCCTTAGGTCGTCCACGTCTCCTTTACCCATCTGCTGTCCAAGCCATCTCCATCGTCTTATTTTTATAACATTTGCCAGTGATACACATTCTGTTTTCCTCCTCAGTTCTTCATTTGTGATCTTGTTTGACCAAAATATTTGTAGAATTCACCTTAAACATTTATTCTGAACCATAAGTTTGCATACAAATAAGCCAGATCTGTGAAACGGATGTGCACGCAACTCTCAGGTTCTGGAGCAAGACTAAAGTCCTGAAATGGACGAACACCCAGAACTTTCCACCAGAGTTTATTCTTCTTCTTCTGCGTTCATCCGAAGATGTAATTGCGTTGTGTCTGTTTACAGCATGGCTGCGATATTTGCACCTTTCGGCAAACACACCGACTTCTGCGGGCATTTGTTGACCGGGTTAGTCTTCCCGGTCCACCAGAGTTTACAGCCGGTGAACAAGAAGAAGAAGAAAGAAGAAGAAGAAGGAGGATACATTCCTGTGTAATTACCTTGTCTGGGTATTTCATGAGAATATCCTTGACCACTTCGATGTGTCCCTGGGCAGCTTCCCTGACCAGCCGATCTGGCCCAGTCTCCTGGCCATGTGAGGACCGCAGCTCCGGCAAGCTGTTCCAGGATCGAGGTAAATGCCGCTGAAATTTTTTTTTTTTTTTTTTAAATATAATAGTCAAATAATTTTGAGGGAAATTAAAAAGAATGCAGGAGTAAGAGTTGGAGGATAAAATATAAACAATTTGTGTTATGCAGACGATACAGTTTTGATAGCTGAAGACGCAACTGATTTACAACTAACTGCTGGATATTGTGGGGATGGAGGAATGCTAAGAAAGGACTTTCATTGAATATTGAGAAAACAGAAGTAATGGTTATATCAAAGAAGAAGATAACTCCACGTTGTGATATCTCAATTGAAGGAAAAAAGACTTAACCAAGTCAATCAATTCAAAAATCTGAGAACAATCATATTATTAGATGAAAAATGTATGACAGAGATTAAAATCAGAATAGGTCAAGCGAAAGCTGCATTTCAGAAAATGAAAAATATCTTAGGCACTACATCGCTCTCATTTAATGTCAAAAAGAGGGTGCTAAAATGTTACATAGAACCTTTTCTACTGTACGGCAGCGAATCTTGGAATGTCAGTGAACAAATTAGGAAGAATTTGGAAGCATTTTATTTATTTCTGGAAAGAATGTTAAATGTGTTAGATTAGTGTAGGTGTCCAGTTGAAGATAAATTTGAGACGGGCCCGGCAAGTCAGCGGAGGATTCAGCGGTTGAAAAAATAAATGCCCAAGATAAAAATAGGAGATGTTTTAGAACACCAGTCTTAATAAGGCTCTTGACAGAGCTCACCAACGAATGTTACATCTCCCCCCGACGCTTCACTGAGGTACAAGGTGGAATAGAAGAAGAAGGAGAAGAAGAAGAAGAAGGAGAAGAAAAAGAAGAAAAAGAAGAAGGAGAAGAAGAAGAAGAAGGAGAAGAAGAAGAAGGAGAAGAAGAAGAAGAAGAAGAAGAAGAAGAAGAAGAAGAAGAAGAAGAATAAGAAGAAGAAGTAAGGGCTATCTTCGAATAACGGTCCCAAATTATCGAGGCCTAAAAATATAAACTAACAGGGCCTCAGTCACATGTTATTGCACGACTTTCGCTACCGCCGAGAGTGGGGCTAAACTAGATGGCTGGGACTCACGAGCAAATAAAATGAAAGAAGCTGCAGGAGATGCGGTAGCTGCTGCTCGTGAGTCCCAGCCACCTAGTTTAGCTCCAATCCAAGCCGCACGTAGAGGCATGGGAGATACTCTCGGTGGTGGCGGTAGTCGCAGAAAGTGCGCAATTTACATGTGACTGAGGCCCTGTTAGGGTATATTTTCGGCCCCAATAATTTGGGACCGTTATTCGGAAGGTAGCCGAAGTAAGCTATCTTGTTATCAGTAACAGATACAAATTACCACAACAAAAATTAGCCCTGTACTCACGAATTGCAGATCTCTGGTCATGGACAGATCCTAAAGTGTTGTTCATATCCTCTGCTCCGTGGGGAACCAGTGTGCAACACAAAGGATTGAAAGTCCACTCCTGGTTTGCCAGCAGCACCCGGAGGTCTCCGTCTCCGTAAACTTTTTTCACAATGCCAGTTTTACCCAGCGTCTACGAAACAAATATTTTCAAGAATCATTATGATAATCATGTGAGACAATCTGATATTTTATCAATCCAAAACCAAGTTAGGGGTTAACAACCAACACCATAGCACTCAGGATACTCCCATAAGCAATCCTCTTGCTCTCTTGCCTTCAATCTTCTCCTCCAATAGCTTTTTAAAGTGTGCTGTCTTTTAATGTGGCCAAAGCATTTCAATTGTCTCTTTTCTTTGTGTGTATTTCTTTCAGTAATTCTCTTTTCATTTGTAGTCCTTTCAGAACCTCAGCATTTGACCACTTTTGTTTCCAATTCTTCTGTATACCCACATCTCCAGGGACTCAGTTCGCTTTTTTAGTTGCCTGTTCAATGTCCATGTTTATGCACCATATAGTTTATGCACCATATAGTTTATGCACCATATAGTTTATGCACCATATAGTTTATGCACCATATAGTTTATGCACCATATAGTTTATGCACCATATAGTTTATGCACCATATAGCAGGACTGAGCATACATAACATTTGGTGATTCTCATTTTAAGTTTGTTACTCATCTGTAACACACATGCAAAAACTCAAGTTCTGGAACAAGGCGAAAGGTTTTGAAATGACCGAACAACCAGGACTTTTTTTCCCGGAAGGTGGGCAAGTCACAAATAATGAAAATAGCCAGTACTAAAAATGGAGTGTCAGATAATTGGAAAAAAAGAAACATGATAAAATTGCTGATGAAAGTGACGGCTAAAAATGAACGTGATAATGATGAAGATGAAAATGATGACTCATGATGACAAGTTGATAATGAAGATGATGATGAAAATGAAGATGATGATGAGAATACAGATGATGATGACGATGATGGTGACAATGATGATGAAGATGATGATGATAAAGATGAGGATGATGATTAAAAAAATGATGAAGATGATGGTGATAAAGATGAAGATGATAAAGCTGATGATGATGAAGATGATAAAGATGATGATGATGAAGATGATAAAGATGATGATGATGATAAAGATGATGATAAAGATGAAGATGACGAAGCTGATGATGATGAGGATGATCATGATGATGATGATGATAAAAGATAATCAAACTTAAATTTTTCATAACATCCGTCCATTCACCATGCCCCGCCTGCCACTCTTTCACCTGCTGCAGGTTCTCACAGATCCTCACGTAATCGTCCACGTGGAAGGTTCGAACCTGCAGGAAATAAACAATGTCACTGTCATGTCTGTCTGTGTGTAGCACATTTTAGGGCGGTGTAGACGGGGAAGGGGGCGGGTAGGATTTAGGGCCACTTGGCTGGTGCTGTCACCATGTAATGTACAGGTAAAGATGTTTAATTCTACCTCTGACAGAAATACTCCCTCACTAAGCCAACACATTTAACATAATTTCCAGACACTTCTCAGGAAATGAGCAGTACTTGTCAACTCATGGTAGGATAGAATCACTAATGTGGAACTTTGAGAGAGAACCAAACAAATTCCAGATAATCAAGAGCTGAGGAAAAGATGCTGGTGTTGGATAGGACACAACTAAATATTCCAGTGAATCAAGAGCTGAAGAAAAGATGCTGGTGTTGGAGATAAGGCACAACTAAATATTCCAGTGAATCAAGAGTTGAAGAAAAGATGCTGGTGTTGGATAGGACACAACTAAATATTCCAGTGAATCAAGAGCTGAAGAAAAGATGCTGGTGTTGGAGATAAGGCACAACTAAATTTTCCAGTGAATCAAGAGTTGAAGAAAAGATGCTGGTGTTGGATAGGACATAACTAAATATTTCAGTGAATCAAGAGTTGAAGAAAAGATGCTGGTGTTGGATAGGACATAACTAAATATTCCAGTGAATCAAGAGCTGAAGAAAAGATGCTGGTGTTGGAGATAAGACACAACTAAATATTCCAGTGAATCAAGAGCTGAAGAAAAATGCTGGTGTTGGATAAGACAAAACTAAACAAATTCTAGTGAATCAAGAGCTGAAGAAAAATGCTGGTGTTGGATAAGACAAAACTAAACAAATTCCAGTGAATCAAGAGCTGAAGAAAAATACTGGTGTTGGATAAGACAAAACTAAACAAATTCCAGTGAATCAAGAGCTAAAGAAAAATGCTGGTGTTGGATAAGACAAAACTAAACAAATTCTAGTGAATCAAGAGCTAAAGAAAAATGCTGGTGTTGGAGATAAGACACAACTAAATATTCCAGTGAATCAAGAGCTGAAGAAAAATGCTGGTGTTGGATAAGACAAAACTAAACAAATTCCAGTGAATCAAGAGCTGAAGAAAAATGCTGGTGTTGGATAGGACATAACTAAATATTCCAGTGAATCAAGAGTTGAAGAAAAGATGCTGGTGTTGGATAGGACATAACTAAATATTCCAGTGAATCAAGAGTTGAAGAAAAGATGCTGGTGTTGGATAGGACATAACTAAATATTCCAGTGAATCAAGAGCTGAAGAAAAGATGCTGGTGTTGGAGATAAGACACAACTAAATATTCCAGTGAATCAAGAGCTAAAGAAAAATGCTGGTGTTGGATAGGACACAACTAAATATTCCAATGAATCAAGAGCTAAAGAAAAATGCTGGTGTTGGATAAGACAAAACTAAACAAATTCCAGTGAATCAAGAGCTGAAGAAAAATGCTGGTGTTGGATAAGACAAAACTAAACAAATTCCAGTGAATCAAGAGCTAAAGAAAAGATGCCGGTGTTGGAGATAAGACACAACTAAATATTCCAGTGAATCAAGAGCGAAAGAAAAATGCTGGTGTTGGATAAGACAAAACTAAACAAATTCCAGTGAATCAAGAGCTAAAGAAAAGATGCTGATGTTGGCGAGGACACACTTTGGAAAAACCTGAGAACAATACAGTAGCAGAAAATTTATGGATGACAGAGCACAAAAGGATCAGAACAAGTCCCCTCATCTCTGAATGTTTGGGCCCTTTACCTTCCTCACACTCTCTGGATCGACTCCCGGGTTTCATTCTTCCGCTGTGTGGTTTAGTTTTACCCGTAACACAGAACATATGGGTTTACTGCTGATAACATGTTGATCCTCTCTAAGATTACTTCCTCAAGAGCCACCCTATCCTTAGGAAGGCGACCCACCGGCATTCTTTGGCATGTCATTGCACTCCCTTGAGCGAGAGGGATCTAGCTTCATACCTTATATGAAGCTGCAATAGGACACTTAATGAATGAATACCTTAACCAAGGCATCAGGGTAAAACATCTGTTTGTTGCTACACTCCTCACACTAAATAGGCTGTTCCCCGTGTGGATTCCGGTGCCCCATTGTGAAGAAAACAAGAACAGACCCACTGCCTACCCAAAAGCATGTCGTTAAAGTCGACTAATTGGGAACTTTCTTCAAAGTCGGAGTGCATCTCTGAGAGGCAAGGAACCAGCAGTCTGCATACAAATAAGTCAGATCTGTAAAATGGATGCACACGCAACACTCAGGTTCTGGAACAGGACTGCACTCCAGAAGTGGATGAACAACCAGAACTTTGCGTCAGAGTTTACAGCTGGTGAATGCGAAGAAGAAGAAGAAAAGGATGCAGAAATATAAGATGAAGCATGAGGAGGACAGAAAAAGGCAATAAAATAAAAGGAAGGGGGAGGAGGAAGAGGAGGAGCAGCAGCAGCAGTGCCAACCTTTAAAATGAACTCTCATAAACTACTTGAGGAGACTAACCACCTACAAATCTGTCTGAAGTGCCATCATGTTAAGTTCAAACTACTAAGCAACCAACTATGTAAGAAAAATGTTCAATGTTGAATTAGGAATCAACATCATAGCACTGGGGACACTCCCATAAGCGCTTTGTCCCGATCTTCAGCAACAAGGGAGTTACAGTTCCAATGGTACCAGTAACTGTCTGATTGTACATCTGTCTTGCTTTTCCTTGAGTGTCGAGCGTCGGCCAGATCCCCTGGTAACTCCTCGCGGCGCCATTCTCCTCAGACCGTAATGATTTATCTGTACCTCTACACTGTTCACTCGCTCCCAAAAGGCCCTCACAACATCTAGCTTATCAAAAATCAATTCACCACCAAGCGGTGCAGAACCGGCCAGTCTATCTGCCTGCTCATTTCCCAGCACACAGGCATGTCCCGGAGACAATTCTAAGAAAAATGAAACTTCCGATTTCAAAGACATCACTACCTTAGTCAGAGCATCAGGGTGGAAGGTCCACCTGTTGGTACATCCCTCGTACTGCACCCTGACATCCCCTCTGTCCGTGATCCTGTGAACCGTCCCAATCCTTTTCAGGTACTGGGAAAAAAACAAAAACATGGATCATAGGAATAACAAGACAAATATATTTAAAACTTCATTATAATCATCATTATCATCACATTGTTGTAGGCGTTATGTAAGTGCTTTGCTGGGGGAGGGAGGAATAAAACAACTGTCACGTTCAACCATCATCCCTTAAGGAAAAGCTTTCGGTTATAATTGCGACTAGGTTATGTGCGTCATATAATATGGCTTAACACTGCATGCCCCTGAAGAGGAATCCTGCAGCGCTGATGTGATCAAAGGAGACAGACCTGAACTGTCCCGACCGGCGTCAAAGTCATCTACCAGCGGGCCTATGGGCGATATGGTCACCAATGTACTGTTGTAGCAATTTAGGTCACACATATAGGGGGTTTGGGGTTGAGTCCTCCATTCCATTATATACTGTGCAAGCCCAGCTGGCTAGCTCAGTTGGTTAAACATGACTGCGCGGCGACTGGGTGACGAACTCCTTGTGGTCCAGGTTCACGCCCGGGGGTAGGCAGAAAAGCCACATTCCTCCCAGATTTACGGTATCTATCACGGAATCAAGGCTGAAGGGTTGCGATATCCATAGTACCGAGTCAAAGTGTTAACAACTCATGGTTTCGGTTTCAGGATATTTAAAAAGAAAAAAAAAAATCATGTGCAATCCTCTCAATATTATCGATGGAATTTTCTCGTATGGGTTCCGGTGACCCCGCACCCCCCTTCCCCCCACACACACACACACAAACCCATATCGACTGCCCCCTAAGAAGCATTATCATAAAAACTGACTAATAAGGGTAATTTTCTTCAAAGTCAGAGTGCATTTGTCTGAGAGGCGAGGAACTAATAGTCCTTCATACAGATCTGTAAAACAGATGTGCACACAAAATGCAGATTCTGGAACAAGAAGTGTGCAGAAAATCAAAACTTTCCACTGGAGTTTACGGTAGGTAATCACGAAGAAGACTTATGGAATCAAGTCCGGCGACCTTGGCCTCTCTCTCAGCATTCGTCTCAGGGTTTCCCTTGGACGCCTTCTTTCTTCAATCCATTTGTCTCCCATTTCAGTGCCTTTTCTAGATTCCCTGTAGGGTGTGCCCAATATACCTTTTGTCTTATAAGTGACGATATAAGCAGTTATTCAAATTTGTCTTTTCGCCCTTCTTACACTTTTCCAATTTAATGTTTACCAATTTACATATGGACCATGTTGGACTTTTTTTTCTTCGAAAAGGACATTGGGTCCAAGGTCAACCCAGCCTGTAAAGGTTATTAGGCAAAGGATCTGGGAAGTAAAGGCAGCTGGCATGATGCTGACCACAACCTCCAGCTCTGTTTCTACACAACAGGGCGCGTTGTGATGCACTATCCTGTGGCAGTCTTGACACATGTCTGAACCATTCTATCTACTAATGTAGTTTAGAACTGCTTTTCCTGATATCATCACTTCTGACTTTGTCTCTTATCGCTAATTCTTCTTCCTCTGGGTTCCCCCTTAAAAGGGCAACAGGAACACTGTCCTGTGGTTTACAGCTAGGCTATGGTATCTGTGTCTTTCGGCTAAACAAAAATCCGATTACAGCAACCCCTGTTTAATCGCCTTTTAGGACATGCTTGTTAACGGGGCAGTGGGTCAATCCCTCACCCCCCCCCAGGCCCTGGAACCCGCAGGTAAAAAGTAAAGGACCCTTTCCCACTCCAGGCCTGCTGGGCATATAGGGCTAGACCTACATTTTAAAGACCAGCTCTTGGTGGCCAACGTGGTAAACACCACATCAAGCAGCCCATAGGGATAAGGTAAACCCCACAACAGGCAGCCCATAGGGATAAGGTAAACACCACATCAGGCAGCCCATAGGGATAAGGTAAACACCACATCAGGCAGCCCATAGGGATAACGTAAACATCACATCAGGCAGCCCATAGGGATATCGTAAACACCACGTCAGGCAGCCCATAGGGATAAGGTAAACACCACATCAGGCAGCCCATAGGGATAAGGTAAACACCACATCAGGCAGCCCATAGGGATAAGGTAAACACCACATCAAGCAGCCCATAGGGATAAGGTAAACACCACATCAGGCAGCCCATAGGGATAAGGTAAACACCACATCAGGCAGCCCATAGGGATAACGTAAACATCACGTCAGGCAGCCCATAGGGATATCGTAAACACCACGTCAGGCAGCCCATAGGGATAATGTAAACACCACGTCAGGCAGCCCATAGGGATAACGTAAACACCACATCAGGCAGCCCATAGGGTTAACGTAAACACCACATCACGCAGCCCATAGGGATAACGTAAACACCACGTCAGGCAGCCCATAGGGATAATGTAAACACCACGTCAGGCAGCCCATAGGGATAACGTAAACACCACGTCAGGCAGCCCATAGGGATAACGTAAACACCACGTCGCGCAGCTCATAGGGATAAGGTAAACACCACGTCAGGCAGCTCATAGGGATAACGTAAACACCACGTCAGGCAGCCCATAGGGATAACGTAAACACCACATCAGGCAGCCCATAGGGATAACGCAAATTCAAGAATCGTAATGGTAGTACCCGGCACAGGTTTAAAAAAACCTAATTTGCTGAGCTGTCAAAAAAGGCTGAAATTCACCCGCAGTGAATCTTATCTTGCTGCGGAATTAAAAGAAAGGAAAGCACTGATGTCTTTTCCCAGTGCGGGGTCCTATTATAGAGAAAACAAGAATAGACCCACTGCCTACCTAAAAGCAAGTCGTAAGAGTCGACTAATTGGGAGCTTCCTTTCGAAGTTGGAGTGCTTCTGCCCGAGAGGCAAGAAACCAACAGTCTGCATTCAAATGTGTCAGATCAGTCAAACAGATGCAAACGCAACACTCAGCTTCAGGAACAGGACTGCAGTCCAGAAGTGGATGAACAACCTGAACTTTCCACCAGAGCTTACAGCTGGTGAACGCAAAGAAAGAAGAAGAAGATAAGGAACTGTTCAGGATATAACGGAATGGGGGAATAGACAGTGAAATGGACGCTAGACAGAGGCGCTGTTCGGAGCAGAGGCAAATTTGTTGCTTCTGCCGGACGGTGGCCGATGCATTTTTGCTCCATTTGTAGACTGGATATAGTTTCGTCGCCCAGCTTCTGAGTTGAATGCATGGCGTGACCCTGTGAGCTGCGGATTGCATTTGGAATGTTTTTTTTCGACTGTGACCAACGTGGTGTGAATTGTAGATTCAGAAATGGCGCGATGCCTGTCGTGCAATGCTGGCGGGGCCCGTATTTAAAATTGATCGCGCTGGCAACTGCTGATCTGTTGGCGACAAGTTCTGCTATCATCAATGATGAACTGCATTTCTAATGTTGGACTGTTTGTGTTAGCACTTCGGATGGCTACCATATGCTTTAATGCGAGTGTATGCTAGATATGCTGAGACAGCAGTCTGTCAATCTTTCCACAAGGGACTGTGATAAACATTCTGTGTGTTTTTCGCTGGCACAGGAGCGGAGCAAAGATGGGGCGACCAGTTTGCTATGAAGCTGAAACTAAGACTACCAGACTACCAGACAGTGAGCCTTATGTGACAGCAGGACAGTGATGACTGTCAACAGAAGCCTTGGTGGCACAGTAGCTAAATGCTTCGCTGCCAGCCTGAACATCTTCGGTCTGAAACCACACGGAAGCAGATTTTTAAAAAAATTATCTTAGGTTCCATGCGAACATTTCTCCCCAAACAGTTGAATATTTTAGGGGGTGGTAGATAGGTTGCATGCAGCTGTGGGACCTAGGCTGCACTCTCTCGTGGGACCTAGGCAGCACTCTCTCGTGGGACGTAGGTGGGTTGGGGATAGGCCCAGTTCTAGATATTTTAGGGTAGTTAAAAGCATCAGAACGTCCCGCTTTTACGACCCTAAACAAATATTGGACTGTCCTGTGATGTCATCCTGGGGGGAGATACTGGTAAAGCACCTTATCTTGGCTTTTAGGGAGACACAGCCTAAAATGAATAGCAGGTAATTTTATGGAAAGCAAAGGCAGCCGGCAGATTTTGTTGAGCATCTAAACAGAACTAATAAAGTTACCATCTTCTGCATATGCGAAGGACACTGCAGACTTCGCAATCTCATATAAATTAGGTGTTAACCAAACAGCTCTCAGCCAGTGTCTTCATGCTAAACAGACCCAAGAACATGTCTTGCAAGACTGTCCTCTGCTCTGCTAGAAGAGCTACGAAACAACACGTGGTCACACCCAGTAGACCTGACAACTAAGTTTTGGGGAAACATCAGAGACCTGACACTGACAGCCCAGTTTGTGGCCCACAGTGGAGTAAGTGCATGACCAGAGAACACTGAAAAAGAAGAAGAAAGAACAGTACCTTCCGCAAAATTCAGCCTCACTCTTTTATAAAAGTCTGTACCTGACATCAGAATAAAATAATTAGATCAAATTAAAAAGAAAAATTTTGCAGTGGTATCGCAGTGCTGCATGGTCTCGAGGGATGATGTCCACCTCGAGTGGTAGAGGTCCCGGGTTCATGCCCTGGTGAAGGCTGGGATTATTTCACGTGGATTTCTAGTAGGGCTGTACCGAATAGTGATTTTCACTATTCGGCCGAATACGAATACTGTATCATCATCATCAGGTGCCTTGCCGACTGACGTAGGCAATTATCCCTCGCCATAATCCGCGATCTCCTGCAGCATGTATCAGTTCATGTGCTGACACACCTCCATGCCATGCAACAAGACTGTCAAGAATCTTATATCGTTGTCTTCCTCTATCCCTCCTTCCACAGATCTTTCCAGTGGTCACAACATGTTCTATTTTCCCTCTTCTCATAACATGGCCGAAAAATGATGACTGTCTCCTTCTCATGTCTGTGATTAGTTGTCTTCGGACTCCAGCCTCTTTCAAAACGTCTTGGTAGCTTTTTTTTGGGCGCTGTTCAAGGTATTTTAAGCATTGTTCTGTAAGTATCTTCATGCCTTCTTTAATAATGTCTCAATTTATAGCCGACTTTTCTTGATTTTCGCCGGGGCACCCCTGGCATACGCACCCAGTTTGAGAACCTCTGGTGTAATGCCTCACTCGAGTCAGCAGGCAAAGACCTTGCCAGCTGCTGTACCACGTAACCAACTTAGGCAACTGCGGCTTTTGTGTTAATGAGAGTTATTTCAGTCCATCGCAGTGCATGCAGAAACGAGTGTAAGGTAACCACTATTCGTATTCGGCCCGATCGCAACTATTCGACCGAATAGTTATTTGGTCCACTATTCGGCCCTGAAGTGAATATTCGGTACAGCCTTAATTTCTAGTAATTTCCCCCTGGTCTCTGAGTAGTAAGACAGGTCACCTGCCAAGGAACTTCCTAGAAATTCCCTATGAAATTTCAAAGCCCCCTAGATGAAGTAAAAAAAGCAGAAAAGAACATAAGTTACCTCTGACATCCGTGGATTCCATCCGCCATGACCCTCTTGCATCTGTTTCAGTATATCCACTTCCAGGTCACATCGCACTTTGTCTCCGACTCTGAACTGACAGGGTGTGCCTGGGCCCTCCGCCTCTGTGAACTCACCTACACACACGCACACAAAAGGCAATCAATCAATGATGTGAAAGAATATAATAAGATCTAACGGAAACTCAAAAACAATCCAGACAATACTCCTTACCCGTGTCCTCCGCAGCGAAGCATGCCACTCTGCACAAAGCATGCCTATCCTGATCTTCCTCAGCATGCTTTCGGAGTCAGTTACAATCATGATGTGTGTGTCGTGTTCTCTAGCCAGCAGAAAGCTGAAGTAACTGCCTCCACCTCCATTCTTAAGCTGGATGTTGTGGTATCATATACTAGGCTCTTCTGCACCAAACGACAACCATTAACTTTTGGCAAGAAACCCCAAGCACTTCTTCTGCCTCAACAGGGGTCTGATGGTGTATCTGTCTCATCGTTACCTTGAGTGCTGATTATCAACCTGACCTCTTCACAGTACCGTTCTCTCCAGATCAGGATGATCCATTTGTGCTTCCACACTGTTCACTTGCACCCAAAGGGCCTTTTCAGCATCTTGTTTGTTGTGCATCAATTCTGGACCAAAAGACTGCTGCTTCTCACTGGTGCATGTCAAAAGTGGGATTGCTACCTTTAAACTGTCATTACGACATCACTGTGTTCATCTGCACTGTAATTTCAAGCGCTTAACACTCTTGACTTCCTTAACAACAATACTACAGGCAACAAGACTGCGGCATGGTTGTTATAATATCTTGGCAAATAACGCGCCAATGCAAACGAGAAGAAGCATGGACAGAGCTGAAATCATCAACGCTGTACGGATTAGGCTGAGAGGAATCATGTTGAAGCTCTGAAACTAAAATGACTGCGTGACCTGGGAGTAAAGCTTGGTGAAGCATGTCTATTATGTCTTTGGGGTCAAGACAGGAAACACTATAACCAACTCCTCATGGGAACTGACATTAGAAGTAGCTTGGAGTGGCTGCTGCATGGGAAGACTGAACACCCATGGGGATGCCCCATGTGCAGTGATGTTGATTGTAATAACTTAAAATTATAATTTAAATCACTTTTAAGGTTTTCATATGAAGCTACCTACACTTATATGACATCTAAGCTGGCAGCAGAACTGTATGACATAGGAGACATATGACATCTAAGCTAGCAGCAGAACTGTATGACATAGGAGACATATGACATCTAAGCTAGCAGCAGAACTGTATGACATGGGAGACATATGACATCTAAGCTGGCAGCAGAACTGTATGACAAAGGAGACATATGACATCTAAGCTAGCAGCAGAACTGTATGACATAGGAGACATATGACATCTAAGCTAGCAGCAGAACTGTATGACATGGGAGACATATGACATCTAAGCTAGCAGCAGAACTGTATGACATAGGAGACATATGACATCTAAGCTGGTAGCAGAACTATATGATAAGGGACACATATGACATCTTAGCAGGTAGCAGAACTATATGACAAGAGAGACATATGACATACCCAACACTGGCAGATGATCCCTGTAGTACGGGCCCCCACTTGTCGCATGCACATATTTCAGATCCACTTTGCCTTTGTGGCCCATACGGTAGACGTTCATAGACCCCGACGACCACGTAACATGGGCCACACTGCGGCCTGATTCAGTGTCCCAGCCCCGGATGTCAGAAACCTTTCCAACCTTGCCTTCACCGCCTGCAAATGGAAGGACACACAATCATATTTATTAACTCTTGTAATGTTAAGCAGCTGTTACTACAACTCATCTGTGTATGTGTGCGCGCATGCGTGCATGTGTGTGTGGGTCATATGGCATCACTTCTAGAAGGGGTGTGGAACAAACAGACCCAATCTCCCCCCCCCCCCCCCCCCAAAAATTTGATTTGATCCTCAGGTTAGGTTTAAGTTAGTCTCCACAAACAAAGTAGGTCATGTTTCATTCACAAGTTTTTTTGGGCTGGTTGACTTTTCTGCAGGTTCCTGTGCCGCTCGCTCTGTTGTTTGCTTTGTGTGTGTGTGTGTGTGTGTGTGTGTGTGGGGGGGGGGGGGGTGTTGTGTTAGACCCTGTTTGTCCATGTTTTGTAGAATTAAAAGCGCTGGTGTGCTGAAATATTCCAAGGTCATGTGGCTCAAGGTCTACCAATCAGAAGTGAGCTAGTGTGTATATGGGCAGGATCTGGGGAGGAAAACATTACTTTTACCAATTGGATCAACAATCAACCTTCTGCGAGAGTTAACAGCAAGTGAACACTAACAAAGGAGTTACTACAACATTTCTCTATAAAAGATGATGCATTTTTTTTTAGCTAAAAACAATTTAATTTTATAACTAAATAACTTTTTAACCCTACCAAATCATGATGGCTTTATGGCTGAGACGGCCAGGGAAAAAAAAACCTACACAAATGAAATGATTAAAAAAAAAGGAAGTAGTAGTAGTAAATTTTACCCCACCAGGACATTACACAAGCGATAAACACCCGATGACACAATGTACCACCATGTGGATGAGGATCACCCGTAGAGAGGTCCCAGAAACCGCGTTCAGCCATTAGACCATATTTATGGCTGGGCTATATAGCGGCCCCTGGCAAGAGCCAAGGTGGTGGCTTCAAATTAACGAAAAATTGCATCCCACAAGGGATTGACTAGAATAAAAAAAGGAATTGAAGACGAAGAAGAAAAGGAAGAAGTTTATGAGGGTCAGAAGTTCATATATGAAAATGAGAACCTCAGAGGAAAATGTCAAACAGAAGAAGGAGAAAACAACCCACTTACCATCCTGGTTGCCCCAATCCCAGTCAGGCCCTCGTGTGACCTTTGCCCCCGCAAATACGCCAACAGCTTGGCACTTTTGGCTCTGGCTGTTGGCTCGCTTCGGCACTTTGACTCTGGACGGAAAAAAGACAGGTAAAGCTTTAACCTGGGGCGTTAATTACAGTATACCGATTAATTACCTGTATGGGTGCCTCCAAATACAAAAAACCTCAGGTAAACTGTTTGTATGTGTCTCCTCCAAACACATGCACAAATCCTCATACGTACTGTCTGTCTTGGCCAAACACAAAAATTCTCATTGGTACTGTCTGTCTCGACCAAACACAAAAATCTTCATTGGTACTGTCTGTCTTAGCCAAACACAAAAATCCTCATTGGTACTGTCTGTCTCGACCAAACACAAAAATCCTCATTGGTACTGTATGTCTTGGCCAAACACAAAAATCCTCATTGGTACTGATGTCTTGGCCAAACACAAAAATCCTCATTGGTACTGTCTGTCTCGACCAAACACAAAAATCCTCATTGGTACTGTATGTCTTGGCCAAACACAAAAATCCTCATTGGTACTGTCTGTCTCGACCAAACAGAAAAATCCTCATGTGTACTGTCTTTCTCCTCCACACACAAGTGCCTCCGTGCATTGTCTGCCTATCTGCCTCCCATAAACATAAAAACCATCTTGTCTGTCCGTCTGTCTCCTCCAAACATAAAAACCCTCAAGTCTTTCTATCTGTCTCCTCCAAACACAAAAACCCTCATATCTTTCTGTCTGTCTCCTTCAAACATAAAAACCCTTATGTCTTTCTATCTGTCTCCTTCAAACATAAAAACCCTCATGTCTTTCTATCTGTCTCCTCCAAACATAAAAACCCTCATGTCTTTCTATGTCTCCTCCAAACACAAATCCCTCATGTCTTTCTATCTGTCTCCTCCAAACAACAAAACCCTCATGTCTTTCTATCTGTCTCCTTCAAACATAAAAGCCCTCATGTCTTTCTATCTGTCTCCTCCAAACACAAAAACCTTCGTATCTTTCTGTCTCCGGTTAGTTGACATTAGTCTTCCCAGGACCCCGCCCATATACACACTAGCTCACTTCTGATTGGTAGTTTCTGAGCCCCGTGACTTTCGCACACAGTTACGGAGGTGTTTCACAATGCCATTGATAAGGCATGGTGTATATTTCAGCACGTCAGCGCTTTTAACACTCCAGAAACATGGAGCAACTGGGTCTAACACAACCCCCCTTGAGAGTGCTGCAACCTATGTCACAGGCATTCTCTTTCTAGGAATGAAAACGTAAATGCAAGACACTGCAAAAACCAAACAACAGAGCGAGACACACCCGTAACCTTCAGGAAAGTCGACCAGCCCAACAAACTTGTGAATGAAAAGTGACCTACTCTATTTGGGGAGACTAATGTCGAAACTAACCCATCTCCTCCAAACACAGAAACCCTCTCCTAATGTCATCAAACCCCTAATTAGTCTGCTTTTAGAACAGTTTGTTTGTTGGGGTTGGAAGAGGGGGGGGGGGGGGGGGGGGGGTGATTTTAACACACAAATAATGGGGTCCCAGAAATCAGCTACTAAACTGTGGCAATGAAGAATGAATCTTTCCCACATGGGCTCTGGGATTCTATTGTGGAAAGGTGTGGGGGGGGGGGGGGGGGGGAGGGGACTCACTTTGTCCCTAACTAGTGAAAAAAAATTGACTAATAAGGAGTGTTTCTATCAAAGTTGAAGTGCATCTGCCTGAGAGGCAAGGAACCAACAGTCTGCATACAAATAAGCCAGATCTGTAAAACAGTTGTGCACACACAAAAACTTGTTCTGGGTCAATACCAGAGTCCAATGACGACCATAACTTTTCCACCAGAGTTTACAGTCGGTAAATGGTAGGAAGAAGAATTTTAAAAAAAGGAATCCACTGCCAAAACAAATGGGGCCCCAGAACCCACCGACCAACACACACAAAAGTGACAATGAAGAAGAAGAATCAAACTCACCCCTTAGATGACGGTGTGTCGAACCTCAGGAAGGAGTGAAGGACGTCATGTTTGTCGTTCATGTAACACAAGGTGCACAGGTCAAAGTCATGACATTTGGTGCACTTCCAGCGCATCCCTTGCACACCCTGGGTCTTGCATGCATCGCAGATAATATTGGTATGTTTAATACCTGGAAGATAAAGAAAAAAAAATTGAGCAAAGAAATTTTTCCATGTTGTCAATATAAACAAACGATGGATTGTACAATTTATTGTATCACCATTGATCACTGGCATCATGAGAGCTAATAGACTGAAATGGTTGGGACATATTGAAAGAATGTCAGATGACAGAGAAGTTAAAAACTGTATACACAAGGGAGATGAATGGTCGTAGATCACGAGGCCGACCTGCAAACACTTGGTGTCACCAAATGCAAAGAGAAGGCCAACCAGAGAGATGAATGGAGGTGGGTGATATCTGCAACAATGAACCTCAAGGGCTCAGAATGCTGAAGAAGGCAAATCAGAGAGATGAATGGAAGCAGGTGATATCTGCAGCAATAAACCTCAAGGGCTCGGAATGCTGAAGATTGATTTGATTCAAGAACCGACATCACAGCACTCGGGGCATTTCCATAAGCGCTCCGTCCCCATCTTTAGCAACCAGTGAAGAGTTCTGATACTAATGGTGCCAGTAGCATTCTGATTAAACGTCCGTCTTGCCTTTCCTCTGAGCCTCGAGCATCTGCCAGAACCTCTCGTCACTCCCTGCTGCATCAATCTCACCAGACTGTGGTGATCCATCTGCTCCTCCGAACTGTACACGCTCTCCCACAAGGCACTAACCACGTCTGCCTTATCATGTATCAGTATTCCACCAAGTTGTGCAGAGCCAGCCAGCCTGTCTGCCTGTTCATTTCCCAACACACCTGCGTGCCCCAGTGAAAAAATCCAGACAATACTCCTCACCCGTGTCCTCCGCAGCGAAGCATGCCCCTCTGCACGAAGCATGCCTATTCTGATCTTCCTCAGCATGCTTTCTGAATCAGTTACAATCACGATGTGTGTGTCGTGTTCTCTAGCCAGCGGAAAGCTGCAGTGACCGCCTCCACCTCCATTCTTAAGCTGGATGTTGTGGTATCATATGCTAGGCTCTCCTGCACCAAACACACACACACACAAAAAAAAAAAACCATCGACCATTAACTTTAGCTAAAAAGCCCCAAGCACTTCTTTTGCCTCTTGACACTGAACCGTCTGTGTAAATGATCAAATCCTCTGAGCGAGCATTATCTTGAATCAATCGCTGAATTTCCACCTCCATGGCACCTGCTGGCCAGTCTCTGCATTCCCGGCTCAGCGTGATGACTTACACAAGTCTGACTGTTTAGGTGGCACTTTGACCCACTCCTCTCTTCGTCTAATGTTCTCAAGGATGCAAACCTGTCTGATTGTTTCTTCTGCCTGAGCCATCCATGAGAATGATGAAGAAGAAAAGACAACACGATGCTACCAGTGCCAGACGTGGTCACTCACAAAAAACCAGAACAAAAAATTAGTCACCATGGAATTGAGACGTCTGAGAAGGTCTGCAGCAATGACCAGAAGAGATCAAATTCAGAATGGGGTTATACGAGAAACAGTTGGAAGAGAACCAATTCTAAATCTTATACAAAGACGACAAATCAAATGTTTGCCTACTTAGAGAGAATACCTCGTGATGTCATAACATACAAGACATACACCAAAAGAGTAGAAGGATAAAGACTATGAGGTAGACCAAGAATAAGATGGAAAGATAATATCAAAGAAACTACAACAGCACAATGAGTCTATGGTCGAGGTCACCAGAACAGCAAGAAGCAGAACCTTTATATCTTCCTCGATACCTGAAGTGGAGAATGTTGAATTAGGAATCAACATTACAGCACTCGAGAGACACTCCCATAAGTGCTCAGTCTCCATCTTCAGCAGCAAGCGAAGAGTTCCAATTCCGATGGTACCAGTAACCATCTGATTATATTTCCGTCTTATCCTTCCCCTGAGTGTTGAGCGCCATTCTCCTTAGACAGCAACGATCTATCTGCGCCTCCACACTGTTTACTCGCTCCCAAAGGGCCCTCACAATATCTAACTTGTCATACATTAATTCACCACCAAGGGGGGCAGAGCCAGCCAGTCAATCCACCTGCTCATTTCCCAACACACCGGCATCACCTGGAGAAAATATCCAAAGGATGCTAAATATTTGGGACCTCTGAAGTGATGCTTGCCACTCTGCACGAAGCATGCTTGTTTTCACCTTTCTTAACATGCTCTGTGAGTCAGTTACAATCCTGGCATGTGTGTACAGCTGATTCTCAAGCCAGCGGAAGGCAGCAGAGGTAGCAGTGGTAAAAGAGGAAGTAATGAAGTAGAAGAAGATCCCCTATCATTTTCCACTGTAACATGTCCGCTGCACAATAAATTAACAATCGAATATAATGAAACAAATGTATGAATCATTTGAAACAAATATAAAACCACACTCAAAAGAAACTTCCTGTCTTACCAGGGCAACTGCAGCATTTTGATTTCTATTACTGCCAATACTTTTCATACATCCGTGGTAGCTAGTCAACAGATTATGCTCATTGCACATCGAATCATTTAGTGCATAAGTGCTCGGTCATAGTCTGGTCATAGTTGCAGATTCACAGTCATCACTTGGTTCTCGAGAACGTCTTACTTCTCATAGAGTATTCAGAATATCAGCCTTGTCCATGGCTTGTCTACCCTCCACACCAGCTTTACCTGCAAGCCAGAACTGATCCCAGCTGCAGCGGATTTGGCAACAGACCACCTTGCACTGGTTTTAAACGCTAGTTGTTATATGTTCTCTGTATCGACATCCGAGCACATCAGTCAAACCAATCTGTGCTTCGTTCCCCTCATGCAGCAGCCATCTCAGTGTCTTCATGCCCAACGTACCCAGTAGGATTCGACTGACCTATCTTATTTCTTTGCCCCGCAATTGGTTTCTGCATGATTGACCTAGTTTAACACCCATTCCAATAGGCGGACCAGTGTCTGATATCTTAGCCTCAAAGTCTCCAGAATGCAGCAGATTCAGTATGTCTGTTATTGTTTAACACCCATTCCAATAGAAGGATCACGTCTGTGATACTTTCGCCTCAAAGTCTCCAGAATGCAGCACATTCAGTATGTCTGCCCTAGTTTAATACCCATTCAAATAGGCGGATCACTGTCTCTAATGCCTTCACCTCAGAGTCTCCAGAATGCAGCATTCAGTATGTCTGCCCTAGTTCAACACCCATTCCAATTGGCGGATCACTGTCTCTAATGCCTTCACCTCAGAGTCTCCAGAATGCAGCACATTCAGTATGTCTGTCCTAGTTTAACACCCATTCCAACAAGCGGATCAGTGTCTGATACCTTCGCCTCAAAGTCTCCAGAATGCAGCATTCAGTATGTCTACCCTGTCCTATATTCCTCCTTCACCAACCACTGCAGACACAGCCAGTCTGTCAGCTCTTTCATTTCCTTTCACCCTGGTATGTCCTGGTGTGTACAGCCAAGACAGTTTCTTGAGACTAGACTTTTGGGTGGTGTCAACCCATTCTAGTCAGTTTGCCAGTTTGGAATGTGTTAAACATGCTCATTTAGTTTGACACTATCAAATCCATGAGCTGCTTTTTTTGTTGTTCCGCCAGCCATGCAAATGCCCCTGTGACAACTGCTATCTCTACTGTTGTGTTTTGGTTTCGACAGTGGTACTGAGATCTGACCATTCAAAAAGCAATGATAAGGAACGTAAAATTGCCCTGTGGAATCAGCCAAAAAGTGCTGGGGTTGGTTCTGCAACGTCCTGTTTCTGGGAGCTGAAGCATTGCAATAACATTTTTCTTCTTTTGCTAGAAAATTCTGGACTGTAGTCCACTTTTGTACTGAACTGTAGTCCACTTCTGTTCTGGACTGTAGTCCACTTTTGTTCTGGACTGTAGTCCACTTTTGTGTCCACTTCTGGACTGTAGTCCACTTTTGTTGTCCACTTCTGGACTGTAGTCTTGTTTTAGATCTTGAGTTTTGTGTGAAACTCAGCTTATTTATACATCCACTGTAGGATCCTCACCTCTCGGGCAGATGCACTTTTGACTTCAAAGAAAACACCACTATTTAGTCACCTTTATGATATGCTTTAGAAGGGTTGGGGGGGGGGCAGTGGATCTAACCCCCCTCCACCAAATTTAGCAAGAGGAAACTGTCAAACAAAAACATTAAAATACAACAGCAACAAAACACCCAACTAACCAACAGTTGCGCTGTCAAATATGCGTAAATCATAAGCTCCCTGGTAGCCGACTCGATAGTTGGTTCGAGCCCCGGAGTCCCACTGCACAACCACAGTTTTATCTGGCGAGGTCTGACTGCCAGGTCTGCCGATTTCCACGACTGTCCCGACATGTCCTTCCCCGCTGTCCTGGTTTCCCCACTTCCAGGCAGGACCTCGGACAACCCTTAACCCCAGCTCCATCAACGCCTGGAAATCAATGGAAACCTGAAATCAAAATAAATGCAATCAAGAATTGATTTAATTTGTCGTCAAAGTTGATAACGGACAATGTCCCAGACACTGGGCAGTGGGCAAAGGTCAATTCTACTGGCTCGCCTGTCAGGTAACCACAAAGCGCTGTTGTCACTCTTGCAGCCTACCTCAGACATCTTCTTTTTTTTTGTGTGTGTGCGTTTATCTAAAACCTGGAATCAAGACGAATGCAATCAACAATTAATTTATTTGTGGTCAAAGATGACAACAGACAATGTCCCAGGCACTGGGCAGTAGGCGAAGGTCAATTCTACTGGCTCGCCTGTCAGTTAACCACAAGGCATTATCGTCACTCTTGCAGCTTTTTCTCATACATCTTCTTCTTCTTCTTTGATATTCATAATATGCATATTATACTATATAAAAATAACCAGCTTTATTGATAAAATACAACTGCTGTGTGAAAGACGGGTGTTTGGAAGGGCTGAATGTAAGACGGGCATGCATGCCCAATTTGTGACCCTTTGAAAATAAAGTTTGTTCGTTCATTCTTATTTTTATGGGTTTCATCCAAAGTCATAAAGGCATTGTGCACATTTACAACATAGTTGCAATATTTGGGCCGACACATCCTGCTTCTGCAGGCATTAGCTGTCCAGGTTATCCGTCTCGGTCTCAGAAATCTCATTTCTGTGGGTCTCCATGTGGGGGTCGGGGGTCCCATTGTAGAGGAAAACAAAAATAGACCCACTGCCTTCCCAGCAAGCATTCTATAGGAGTCGACTAACTGGGGACTTCTCTCGAAGCCGGTGTACATCTGCTCGAGCAGTAAGAAACAACCAGTTGTACTACACAAATAAGCCTGTAAAATAAAAATGGATGCACATGCAACACTCAGGTACTGGAACATGACTGCAGTCCAGAAGTGGATGAACAACCAGAACTTTCTGCCGGGGTTTACAGCTGGTGAATGTGAAGAAAAAGAAGATGAAGAAGAAGAACTTTGAAGAACATAAAAAGACAAAAAGAAAAATGCTTTAAGTACTTGTTTGGACTTTCATTACAATTATTTTCATCATTTCCAATGACTGATCATACATTTTCAGCAATTATTTAATCAAACTGGACTTCGTTTTGTATGATACACACATGCTTTTTTTTCAGTTTAGCCTCTCCTCTATACAGTACTGGGTTGATTCAGTTGATACTTTCTAAGGCTATCCTCCGAATAATGGTCCCAAATTATCGAGGTCGAAAATATACCCTAACTGGGCCTCAGTAACATGTAAATTGCGGACTTCTTTCTGGCGACTATACCGCCACCGCCAAGAGTATCTCCCGCACAGCTATATGTCGCGCAGAGTGGGGCTAAACTAGATGGCTGAGACTCACGAACAAATAAAATTAAGGAAGCTGCAGGAGATGCGGTAGCTGGTGCTCGTGAGTCCCAGCCATCTAGTTTAGTCTCAGCAGTGACTTCAACTCGGTGGAAGCTTTCTCGCGGTATGCTGTGTAGTCGCCGGAAAGAGGTCTGCAATTTACATGTGACTGAGGCCCTGTTAGGGTATATTTTCTGCCTCGATAATTTCGGACCGTTTTTCGGAGGATAGCCCTTTCTAAAATTATATTTACAATATACACAATTATTTAACTCATTTCTAGCATTACTGTAAGTCTATGACAGTAGAAGTGTTGAAACAAGAATAAATAAAGACAAAATAAAAAGTAAACAATGAAGATTCAAATGAAAATGATTCAAGTGATTCTAAGTAACTCAAAACGCAAGTAATTCTAGTCACTAAATTATTATTAACAAGTATACAAAATGGGTGTTGTCAGCGTAGACACATTAACAAACATTTAAACATGCTTGGGTCTTGGGAAATCGGGGCATTTAATGTGATATTGGTGCAGTGAAGATACAAAGACTAAGTCACTAAGATTTGGTTCCACCTAGTTCTGATTAGAATTAGAATGAATGAAGATTAAATTAAATTCAACAAATATTAATCATTTCTGTTTCATTCACATCTACACGATCATTCAACAATGCCCGAATGAAATCTTACTGTTGTCGTTTTGTAAGTGTATCCCCTCCTACCCTTATACTTTCTCTAGCTTGTGTCAACAAACACAACAATTATCATCACAGAAATGTTCCTTTTTAGAAGCCATCTTGGGTTCCATCAGCCAGGTTTCATGGCCACTCAATTTAAATTTTTTCCAGTATTTTGGACGAACAAAAATTTAATTCATTAATACTTAGATGGGAAATATTATCTCAAAATAAAATTTAGAAATATTTATTATTGTGATATCATTTTATGTATTGAATTTAGTGCCCGATATTAATTATAAAAATAATGAATTAATTTTTGGCAAAGCCAATTCCAATAAGGTATTGATTGTAAGACATCCAAAGGGAAACATGAATGTGAAATTGTGTACTACAGATCCAATTATGAGTTGTGAGTTAGGAACGGACACCATAGCATAAAAGACATTCCTATAAGTGCCTCTTCCCCATCTTCAACAGTAAGCGCAGCGTTCCAATTCCGATGGCACCAGTAACAGTCTGGTTGTACATCCGTCTCGCCTTTCCCTTGAGTGTTGAGCGTCGGTCAGATCCCCTGATCACTCCTAGATGTACCATTCTATTCACTCTGTGATGATGTTTGATCCTCCGCAGAGAATCTAATTAGACGTGCATCAGCTCATTACCAAATGGTGCAGAACTAGCCAGTATATCTGTCTGTTCATTTCCCAATCCAAAGGACGCTAACTACCCGAGACCTCTGAAGCGATGCTTGCCACTCTGCGTAGAGCATACAAGTCTCCAACTTTCTTAGTATGCTCTTTGACAAGCTACAATTGCGACATGTGTGTACAGTTGGTTCTTAAGCTAGTAGAAGACTGCAGTGATTGCCTCCACCTCCATCCTCAAACTAGACTTTGTAATGTCATATGCCAGGCTTTGTTGCACTATGGACGCCTATTCACTTTTGCTATGAACCACCATACACTTCGTCTACCTCTCAAAATCAGTTCTCTTGTCATCCCTTTGTGGGGTGCAATTTTTCGTTGTTTGGAGCCTTACTCTGGCTCTTGTCAGGTGCCGCAATATAGCCCTGCCATAAATATGGCCTAACGGCTGAACGCGGTTTCTGGGACCTCTCCACGGTGATCCTCATGCACATGGTGGCACTTTGTGTCATTGGGTGTTTATCGTTTGTGTGATGTCCTGGTGGGATAAAAGAAAATACCTAGATAGATCTACCTCCCATAGAGCCATATGTGTAGATAATCACATCACTTGGGCGGGAATGGTCATAAATCATTTGTTGAACTTTTGATTTTGCAGCACCAGCTGGCCAGTCTCTGCACTCACGAACTAAAGTGGTTAGAGCCCTACACAAGTCAGGCGGTTGCCCGGACACTCGAACCCACTCCTCTCGTCGCCCAGTCAACTCAAACCTGACAGGTCAAAGGGCAGGGAACAGACAGAGAAACATCTTGGACGTTACTGTTGGGGGTTTGAAGTATGGAGTAGATATACCCATTTATTAATTAATTAAAAAAAAAAAAAAGCTTCGAGCAGAGTGGCAAGCTCCACTGAAAAGATCACGGGTAGTGGGCATACTTAGGATCTTTTCTCCAGGCTATGCCGGCGTGGTGGGTAATAAACAGGCAGACAGATTGGCTGGATCTGCACCACTGGGTGGTGAACTGATGCCTGACAGGGCAGATTTTGTTAAGGCCCTTTGGGAACAAGTAGCGGAATCAGTAGAGAAACAAGATTATTATGGCCTGGAGAGAATGAGGCACCTGAGTGTAACCAGACCCCCCCCCCCCCCCCGACTCGATACACTCAGAGGAAAGGTAAGACTGACATATAACCAGATTGTGACCGGTACCATCAGTATTGGAACTCTGCGCTGGTTGCTGAAGATGAGGACGGAGCACGCATGGGAATGCCCCGAGTGCTGTGATGTCAATTCTTGACTTAACTAACTAACTTAAAAAAAAAAAAACTCCTTCTGTCGTGAACATACATACGTCAAACAGATGAAGCTCGTCAGCTGGGGACAGCAAACCGTTTAGGACAGAGCTCTCAAAACATTTTTTAAGTCGTACCTCTGCTCCACTTTTAAGTAAATGGTAACACAGCAAGACCCAATCACACCCCTCCTTTTTCCATTTCTTTTTAGAGTATATAGCAATATGGCAAAAGGTCCTCACAAACCTCCCTTCCCCTCAATGACAAGATCCCACGCCCCCTTTGAGTATATGTCAAGACCCTTATGCCACCCCCCCCCTCAACCCCTTTTAGCCTAACATAAAAATGATTTAAAAGAGTTAAGTTGAGTCAAGAACTGATATCTCAGCACTCGCGGCATTCCCATGCGTGCTCCGTCCTCATCTTCAGCAGCCAGTTTCAATACTGATGGTACTGGTCACAAGCTTTTGAAAGACATTTCATTCTCATGCTAGATGTTGGTTAAAAAGAAACACAGACAGTATGGAGATACGTTTTGTTCAGAATGTGTTCGTTAATCTATAAAAGCCTGTGTTATCATATTAATTCGATTTTTAACTGCAGCTACACAAAACTGCCTCTGGTCTCATGGTCAGACTTTAGGTGTTAGCACAAATGGAGACAAACAAGCCTAATATAAAGTTGCGATTCTTGACAAAAGCAATGAACAAATCACGCCCCAACCTGGGACGCAATTTTGTTGTTGTTATTCTGAAGCCCCACTAGGCTGTTGTCGAGGGGCCCTAATATAACCTAACGGTTGAAAGATGTTTCTGCGGCTTGATCCGGGTGATTGTCTTCTTCTTCTTCTTCTTCTTCTTCTTCTTCTTCTTCTTCTTCTTCTTCTTCTTCTTCTTCTTCTTCTTCTTCTTCTTCTTCTTCTTCTTCTTCTTCTTCTTCTTTTCTTCTTCTTCTTCTTCTTCTTCTTCTTCTTCTTCTTCTTCTTCTTCTT